CTTTACTAGGAGCTGTATTGCTGGCGATCCTCACAGTTGTGGGTGCACACATCGAGGCAGTTGTTGCTGCTGGTGTGTTGGTAACTGGACCTTCCAAGGTTTCCGCTGGCGTTGTTGCCACAGGCCTTGTCAAGGCAACCTTTTCGGGGGCTGCAGACTTGTCTACTATTTGTGTTGTTAATGTTTCTGTTGTTTTTGCAATTAAAGTTGTTGTTGGAGTTGTAACTGCTGAGGTTGTTATTGCTGTGCTCGAATTTCTCATTGAGTCTGATTCCACGTCTTTCATTGCATCTGCAGCCGAGCATTGAGTTTTTGCTGCCGCCTCAGTGCTTTGCTCCATAGTTGTTGATGCGCCTGCTCTAACCCGGGCGGGCTCAGCGGTTGCTGCTCCTGTTTTGTCAGTGGTTGGCGCTGCGGTTTTCTCCATGTTTTTTTGCTTCAATCTTTTCCTGCCAATAAAATGTTGCTCCAACAGTGCACGCTTTTTGGGGCATTGCGTACGAAGCGCTATATAAGTCGCCAGATTGTGGGGTGTGTACTGAACCACGTTTGCCTTATCCATTCTAAATTGAAAGAATGTTGGGTTATACCTATATAATAAAATAAAAATAGAAAACTTACCGCTCAAGCTCTGCTTTTCTGGCCGCATACAGAGCAGCCACACTTTGAATATCCTGCGCACTATTCTCGCATGTTGTCCTTTGTTCGGGCATTGGGTCCTCCTCTGGTAGTTGAAGCAGTTTTTCTCTTAGAAGTGCCGGACAGGCCTTTAGAGTGCACTTATATTTTTGACGTATCTCCGGATTGCGATAGAAAGCCTCGTAGTATGCGAGCTTACACTCATTGGCGGAAGCGTTTGCATACTGAGCTTCCTGTTGCATTTGCTGGACAACCTCATCCAAATTTAATAATTTCGAGAAAATATTATATGAGATGGGATATCTAATTGCAGCCTTTTGTTGCCGCTGTGGCAGTGCCTCCTGTTCCATTACTTGGTCGTCAAGTCGCTCTGCAACTGTGTTTACAGTGTTTTCTTCTCTTGAGTCTCTTTCTTCACTAACGGCAGCACTCGCTGACTTCGAAGGCGACGGCAACGGTGAGGGTATTGAAAGGGCTTTGGGACAGGGCACAGCAAACTGCAGCAGTATATTTTGCATCTCGGCTGGCGCCGCATCGAAATTGTAGTTACATAATTTACGAGAACGCGCATCGACGTAGAATGAGTGATAAAAACGCCGCAGTAATACCAGATCATAGCGATCGTCACTCAGTATTTTGCCCACTTTCTGTTTACATTTCGTGAAGGCATTGGCTAGCTCAATCCTGACCGTGTCATAGTTAATGTAGCGCTTAAATGTTTGCACTGAAACAGGAAATTCATAGGTGATGTCTTGTAAGGTTATCAAAACCCTTTCGCTTTGCACTAAAATGTTGTTATTGTTGCTTTGATCCGAGTTGCAGTTTACGTCGAGTATATCCGGCATTGGTTCAACCACTTCAACTGGAGACTCCTCCTGCCCTGGCTCCGACTCCTTTGCACTGGGTTCCGGCGCGATTTCAGCTAGTTCGGGTTGATCTGGATCGGGTTCTACTAAGTCAAGCTCTGTCGGAGAGCTACCAGCTGGCAACATAAGGAGTTTGTCACGCAGTTTTGCCGGACACGGTTTTATTGCGAACTCAAACTTTTTACGTATTTGCGGGTCCGTATAAAAAGCTTTAAAATATTCAAAGGCGCACTCATCTTTAGATTTGTCCTTATACTCCTCGCAACACAACATTTGTTCCTCAATCTCGTCGAGATTTTTGATGCAACGCTTGAATAATTTGAATGTTACGGGAAACGTTTTGACTAGTTCATCATCCTGCTCCTGGGCTTTTATTTTGTCAGCTAACGCAAGTTCGTTTGCGGCTTCGGCCATCTCTTTATTGGCATTCTCATCCAAAGGCACAGCATAGGCTAACAATCTCTGCAAGAGCTCCGCACTAACATTCCCAAATCGATAATCATATACGCTGCGAATGTTCGGGCGCACATAGAACGAGTGATAATATCTTCTCAATATTTTCTGGTACTGAGGATGCATCGGACTTTCTACTATAGCAGCCATCTGCGACTCGTCCTGTATGACATGTACGAGCAATGGCCTAATGAGCTCCTTGTAGTTAATGCAACGCATAAAAGTTTCAAAGGCGACGGGAAACTTAAACCGGCCGGCTCTGTAAGGAAGAGTCTGGTTTAAAACAATGTGCAATGGATAGAACAGGTATTGTTTCATACTTTCCCAGATCCTCAACCACATCGAAACTGAAGATTTCGGTGGTTTCACATTCACTGCAATTTAATGGTAATTAGAAATTATTCTTTTTTCATATGATAATTATTTTACCTGGCCGTTGGCTGCATGGTAGGCACTTCCTGCTCCACTCCTTTCCTCCCCTCCTCGGAAATCGGCCTGCAATAGAATGTAAATCTTAAAATCTGCCCAAGAAGCAACAATGAGATTTGCAATTTACGTAGCTTCGTCGTTCGGCACTTTGCTCGACGACTGTTGCTCCTTGCTGCCAATTGGTGTTGCCATCTTCAATAATGTTTCTCTTAGCGTAGCTGGAGCTGCATTGAAATTGAATTTAAATGCTTTGCGGACTCTTTCGTCTGTATAAAACAAATAGTAGAAGCGTTGCATTATTTGCTCATCATTTGGCTTTTCGCCACTTTTTCCCTTTTTCTCTTCGTATGTCTTGTCCAGCTGCGCCTTAAGATCCTCGTAGTTAATATATCGCACGAATGTTTCAAAAGAAACCGTAAATTCATACGTTATGCCCGAAAGTTTAACCAGTTTGCGGTCAGAATTCAATAATAAATTGCCTTCGTTGCTGTGACTATTGTCCGTGACTTTGTCCGCCGAAATGGCGACTTCAGCTGGCAGAGTCAACAATTTATCACGTATTCTGGCCGGACATGGTTTGAGCTGGTAGGGAAACTGCTCGCGAATTTTCGGATTTGTATAGAACATGTTGTAGTACTCCAGGGCGCACTCATCTTCAGTTTTGCCCGTGTACCTATCGCAACACAACATCTGTTGCACAATTCTGTCGATATTTTTTATGTAGCGCTTGAATAGCTGGAAGGAAACGGGTGCCTTGAGCTGTGGCTGCTCATCCCTTATTGTTGGCGTCTTCTCTGCAACTTGAATGACGGGCTGATTTCTGAAAAATTGATAAACAACTATAGCGCAGAAAGCTATGCTTTATTTGAACTCATACTCATCGGATTCCACTGCAATGTCCTCATCTTGTATGGTGGGCTTGTTTGTGTCAACGATTTCCACTTGCGGCTCGACATGAGTGGGCGCTGTTATGCTTTGGCTCTGACTCGCATTTGATTTCATTTGCAGCAACAGCGGAGCATCTTCTGGGCTAGGCAATGCGAGCAGGCGGTCTTTCATTGATGTCGTACAGGGTGCTAGTACGTACGGGTACTTATCGCGGATTTCGGGTGTTAGGTAGAAATCCAAGTAATACTCATAGGCACATTCCTCGAAACCTTTGTAAGCATAGTCGGGCTCGTCAAGCTTCAGACGCCACACGATATCATAGATATTTATGATAAATTTTTCAAAAACCCCAAAGCTCACAATCGACGACGGGCTACGCGAACTGGAAATATTTTTATTATAAAAGTGTGTCAGCTGCAGCCAGTTGGCGTTGAGCTCACCTGCTTGGTTGATTGTCGGCTGAGGGCAGCGGTGCTTCAGTGGTCTGCTGTTGCCTGCGGAGAAAAGGATCGCTCATTATATAATTCCGAAGCGCCTGGTGTATACGTTTCTTACTGTGACTTTTTCTCCAGCGTTTTCACTGCCAACTCATCCAAAGGAACGCCTATTTTAAGCAACTGCTGCCGCAGTGCCGCTGGCGCCTCCGCGAAATTGCATCTTTCGAGGCGACGCCTGCTTGGAAAGATATAAAATGCGTTATAGTATTTGCGCAAAAGCTTCCGGCACATAGCCTCATTGGCTAACATGGCCGCACGCTGCGCCTTGTCCTTGGCCTCCTTTCGTACAATGCCATCAAGCACTTTCTTCTTATCAATATAACGCTCAAACGTGGCTAACGAGACTGGAAACAGGAAACGTCCGCATCTGACGTAATAGAATATGATTAACAACCACAGCTCATTATTATCCGGTTTTATCATTCACCTATTGACCCTGACCTCAACCCCATCTTCAGTGGGAACCCATTCATTGTGGAGTCCACCAATCGGATTCGTGGTCGCCTCAGAAGTAGAACCATCCGAGGTGACTTGCAGCAGCTTCTCCTTAACCCGCAACGGGCAGGATCTCAGTCTGAATTCGTATTTCGTGCGTATTGAGGGATTACTGTAGAAGGCGTGGTAATACCAGAGGGCGCACTCATCCAATGTTTTGTTCGAGGCGGCAAACTCGGTGCACTGTATCTGAAATGCGATATCCGGTAGGTTTTCCACTACTTTGCTAAACACACTGAACGTGACTGGCGGAGTACTGCAAAAAGACGCATAGTCAAAATTGGCATTGCTTCACATTTTCCACTTTTACTATGATTTACCTGTTTGTGCTTTTATGCTTAGTTAACCAGTTGCGCATTTGCTCGGACGCCTTTGGGTCACATTTTGGCTTTTTCTTTTTGCGTATGCTCGTCATTACTTTTAATTACAAAATATCCATTAATTGCATTCAAGTTTGTAATGGAAAAGACGCATAACAAAATCGCGCTTGCTTGGCTGTGCTACTTAAGTGTGGCCAGAGTTAAAAAAAATAAAATTGCCTAAAATCACTGACAGGCCTGGCACTGTTTGTCTGTGGGGAGTTTATAGTTGTTTATGTATTTAGTTCATGAACTAGCCGTATAGATGGCGTTTAGTAATTTAAAATAATGCTGATCCTGAAATTGCTTTGCGAGTTTAATTAATAAAGTCCGTGCCACACAGGAAGAATAAACACATTATCAACTGTTCATATCAATATATGTAAAACTTTAATTCCTCTAAAATATCAGACTTAAAATATAACCGCACTACAATTATCAATCGGCCTGAGATATATTTTGGGCTGCGCTAATCAGCGTGTCGTGAATATCCTTCGCCGACTGAACGTGGACGCGCACTGTATTCAGATATGTGGGATATGGAATGGGACCAGCGGGATTGTCCTGCATGAAGTTTTCCATTCTCATCGCAGTTACAGCTCCGGGCAGATAATGCTGCGACGATGTCAGCTGCTGCATGCACTGAATCGCCGTCTTAAGATGCAGCTCCATTTGGTCGCAGCACGCGTAAAAGTCCTCCAAGTGTTTGTCGAAGCGGGGAACATGGCCATGGCCGCCTGTATCGCGTTTCAGGTTGTCGGCCAGATTGTTTTGCTGCAGCGTAAAGGCACTAGAGCGAATCGTGAGAAACATGGACTCGCGTAAAGGTCCCAAAAGGCTCTTGACTCTCGAGATGTTGTCTAGTTTTTCCGCTTGTTGTTGTTGTTGCTGTTGTTGTTGTTGCTGCTGCTGCTGCTGCTGTTGTTGGTGCTGCTGCTGCATTGGCACGGGCCCGGGTGGTCCGGAGGGCATCATCGGCTGTGGCGACGACTGCATCATGGGCGAGACCTGCATCATAGGCGGCCCAGACATTTGCATCATATTCATATTTGGATTCATTTTGTCTTTAATTTGTAACTCATTTATTTTCACAACAAACTTGGCACAGTATGACTCTGGCAACAATGTACACCCTGTGACAAGTATATATTAGCTATTATAATACTGAAAAAAAAAAAATACTTTTCGATTTGGTCACACTTTCAAAATCACACGAGCAGCTGTTTTCTGTTGTCGATATTAAATTTATTGCTATCGATGACAGCGTAAAAATAGTTTATCAAGATAATAGCGTTTTTTTTTTCTAATTTAACAAAGATTTCTATTAAAAATTAAAGCGCTAAGCGCATTGTTAAGGCATAAATAAATTTGTGAACTAAAAGTATGACTAGGTAAGTGCTATAGGTGCAGACGAAAATAATTCCATCTAAGGGCGCCGAAACCCTAACCTAAAAGTATAAGGAACAAATGTATCATCGTGTGGCCGATTTTTACAGATCCAGTATCGAATTGGGCGACGTTACGCCACATAACATAAAGCAACTGAAGAAGCTCAACACGGTTGTGTTTCCCGTTTCCTACAATGACAAATTCTACGTGGACGTATTGGAAGCCGGCGAACTGGCCAAGCTCGCCTACTACAACGATATTGTTGTGGGCGCCGTCTGCTGCCGCATTGATACGACCGATAATCAGCGGCGTCTCTATATAATGACACTGGGCTGCTTGTCGCCGTACCGACGCCTGGGCATTGGCACCGTCATGTTCGAGCACATACTGAACTTTGCCGAAAAGGATGGCAATTTCGACAGCATCTTTCTGTGAGTATGCCCATCGATATGTGCTTGGCCTGAATAATAGCCTAACGTTTCTTTCTGGCAGGCATGTGCAAATCAACAACGATGGCGCCATCGAATTTTACAAGAAATTTGGCTTTGAAATTGTCGACACCAAAGAGCAATACTACAAACGCATCGAGCCAGCGGATGCCCATGTGCTGCAGAAGACTCTGCGCCGCAAGAAATCAGATGCGCACCATCATGCGTTTACCAACGGTGCTGTGAACGACAAGAAGGATCGGCGAACCTGAAAACGAGCCCTGTGACGGCTGTTTCCTTACCCAAAACTCATGCAACAATAATCCCAACAACAACAACAACCACAACAACAGAAACCGTATTTAGTTTTAAAAATTTCATATTGAACAAAATCATACAGTTAAACAGACATCTGCTCAGTAACAACACAACTAGGAGTAAAGTACGCCAATTATATACGTTAATATGATCTAATTCTAGCCGTTAGATAGTCCACATATGTGTGTAGCGTGTGTACGCAATGGCGCTAAATAAAACCAACTGGCAAATTGTGTTTTCAATTACCACACGCGATTTTATCTAATGGCAATTAACGCACCTTACGGCTGTACGGCTAATTGTTGCCGTGCGAGTGACTTAAAAGCAGCCTTCGAGCGGACGCACAGCACAGACAGTTCCAAAGGATGAAGCGGCAGACAACGCACCGAAGCGACGGATTCGTCTATTGCTACAACAGCCTGTACAGGCTGTTATTTTACTGGGGCGTGATTACGTTTCGGCTGCACAATCAGCGCGACGGTGGACCCAGATCAACTCCTCTGCGGGTTTTGTATGCGTTGAGTGTGCGCTTTGGCCTGGTCTTTGGCTTTGGTGCTGGCATCTACATAAAGCTGAGCGATGAGCAAATGTCGCAGGCTATGTTTAGCCACCTGTCGCCCGTGGTCAAGATCATCTTCACCTGGGAGTGTCTCGCTTGTATCATAACGTACGTGGAGCTCTGCGTGTCGCTGGACACGCATCGCAGGCGTCACATAAGGATGCTGGCCAGCATGCAGCTCCTGGACACGCAAATCTCTGCACAGTTTCCGCACGTACGCTGGCGCTATCATCTCACACGATCCAAGTACTGGTACGGCACAGTCGTGGTTACCTGTTGCTATGTATCGATTTCGCTCGCCCTCATGCTCGATACGACGCACTGCAGCTGCGGCTATGTGTCCACGATACTCATCGCAGGCACTTACTCCTTGCTGACAAGCACACTTGGCTTGATGGGCTTCATACACGTTGGCCTAATGGACTACCTGCGCATACGCTTTCGCCTCATTATAAAGCTGGTCGAGCAGCTCTACAAGGCGGCAGACAAGGACGAGCAGGATGAGCTCCAGCTGCGCATGGACCAGCTTATTGACTTTGCCAAGCGCTGCTCCCAGCTGCTAACCGAGATGAATGGGGTCTGTGGATACGTTGCCGCCGCGGGCATCTTCTATGACTTTGCTCACATGACCTGCTTTGTGTATGTGCTTTGCCAGAAATTACTCCGCATCGAGCCGTGGGACACGCAATATGCATATATATCACTGCATCTCGCAGTTCACATCTACAAGGTGCTCATCACCAGCATCTACGGCTACCTGCTGCAACGTGAGGTAACTCTCAATCCTATTGTACTTAATCGCCAGCCCCAATACATACGACATCTCTGAATCCTGCCCAGAAACGCAACTGCATGCGTCTGCTCAGTAACTACGCCGAGCATTTTGGCAACCAGGCAACACATAAGGATCAGCTTGAATGCTTTCTCTACTGGCGTATGCACAATAACCAGATCGCGACCATAGGCACAAGCTACCCGTGCAATATATCCCTGATATACCTGGTAAGCCCCTAATTCAGAATTCATAATATTTAAACATATATAACATGCCACTTTCATTCCGACAATGGGAATTATCGCTTAATGGTTGATATAAAAGTGTAATTCCTGGCTTATACTAGCTCTGATTGGATTCTAGTTTCATTCTCTTTATTAATGATATACTTATATACTTATTCTCGAGTCGACTTCATATATTCGCGTTATGCAAAAACAAAAAACAATTAAAATTCAAATATTGTTTAAGATTAATTTTGACAAATTTCAAAATAATTTTAGTTTATAAATTCGATTTTCCGGCAACTTATTCCAAGCACTTTAAAGATGGAATATAACTAAAGAGAACTTTATTCTTTCAGGTTCTTAATGCCATGGCTAATTACGTAATAGTTCTGGTGCAATTGCTCTTCCAGCTTCAGGATAAAAAACAAGGTCCTGCGATTTCAATACCCAAAGATGTGGAGTTATTAAAGCCTATCGATCAAATAACTCATCTAAGTGAGGTTTTCTAATTGTTAACAGGAGTTTGTTGAATTAGCTTTCATATAGAGCATAAGACTTATATAAACAAATGTTATTTAGCTATTCAAAGTGACTTCTGCAACGTTCATACGACAGCGCTCCTTGATGGACATACGAACTGAGAGTGCTGTAAGCCCGGTCAAGTATACTCTCATATTCGTACAGTTCTTCGCAGCTTATGTTGCCAAGAAGATTCAAGTCGCCGAGAAAATAATGGGCTAGATGTTGGCTTTCAACAGCATCGCACAGTTCGGCAAGCAACTGCAATGGAGAAAGGTAGTTATATTTCAGCTCATGATTAAGAGAGGCATTCATTTGAGACCACTTTTTACCATTAGAAATACATCGTCCAAAGTAGTAGTTATTGCGTATTTGTTAACATGCGGCGATATTCCCAAATTCACAAGCTGATAATAGCGTATTTCGGTCAGGCCCTTCGCTTCGCATAAGGCCTGCAAGAGAATCAGCGCCTTCCTCACGACATCCACCTGTAACCGGTTGTGCTCTACTTCCGGCTGGCTGGGCAGGAAAGAGTATTTAGCCAGGCTGCCTGGCACCAGCTTGGTTATGGCGGAAACAGGAGCTCCGAGTACACACTTTATCGAGGGCACAAATACAATTTTGAAAGCCCGCGTTTTCGATCGTGCAAAAACAACGTGCGACATGTCGTGCAATTCATAGGTCAATTCGTAATACTTAGAGCCCCAGAAACTATTTATATATCTGTCAAATGCTTTGAGAAATATGTCATCCAGCCAATTTTTAAGCAAATGCCGATTAATCAAGTCCTTCTGATCTGATATTGGCAAATCGTAGGGAACATCTGATACGTCCAAGCACACATAGTTGTCATTATTCTCAAATGAAGAGATTTTCTGATAAGACGGTATAAGCAGCTCAAGCATCACATCGTACCGATCGTCAGTGTAAAGGCGAGTGCGGTGAGCGGCGGTGCCTGTAAAATAGATTGATTTTTACTATACTTTCATGTGCATATACATATATATACATATATTCAACAATTAGCAATTACCGAAAAGTATGGATCTGTTAAAAAGGATATTAAATGAAGTGCTACACATACGCAAATTGTACACCACATCATTTTTGGCGCTTTCAAAATCAGAGGTTTCTGACCATAACTTGGGACTCTCTAGTTCCTCGACAATATCTTCTAAATAATCGTTAAATGGTTCGGACATCTTGTAATAGAGAAAATTGTCATGTTTAATAGATGAAATGGCTGCTCAAATAATAATAAGCACATATTGATGCACATTTTACCTTTTGAATATTGCTTTAAATTCGGTTTGATGAAACTGTTAAATACGCAGAATTGCTCAAAATAAATTAGAAAACCAGCGTTGCCACTTTGTTTTTCTAACTGTCACAGTTGTAACAGTGTGGCATAGAAACAATACTATCTATCGATATCGATAAAAATACTGAATTACTGCAAAATGCCCACATTGATTTAGTATTTTATTAATCGAACGTGTGCCCGCCCAAAAGATCATAGAAGAATATACCAAAACCTATGTGCTCGTTTTTATATGTTTACATATACATATATATATATTGTTGCAAACGCGTTTAATTATATTTATTTTAAATCTGCCCGCTTATTAGCAACTAATTCAATTTGTTGGCAAAACATAAATAACCAGTGAAACGGAACAAGTTTGTTGAAAGCGCGCTTAAAGGAATATATATGCCACATTTTCCGCGCAAAACGGGCAGAAATGAAATAGCTTAAATTTCAATTCATTTTTTTTTTTTGGTTTATTAGGATAATACAAAAAGTGAAAAAGTAGAAAAGTAGGTCATTGAATGGTTTTGAAGATGAACTTGGCAAGTTCTAAATAAATATATTTATATGTCAAGTATTTGGTTGATTTGAGGTACTTTCGAGATTTCTAATCAAAGAACCTGCGGCAGCGTGCAAAGCTAACGGTTGGCTTATATGAATACGAGTCAAGCACATTGTAGGCATCGCAAAGTTCGCTGGTGTACTGCAACATCTCGTTATCCGAAAGGTTGCCGAGGAGATTCATTTGCGAGTTCCACACATATGCTAGATGGCCTTCGAGGAGTGCGTCGCACAGATCCGACAGCAACTGCATGAGACGAAGGCCTTTAGACATTTGGAGATTCAAAGTAATCGGTACTTACCATAAGAAAGAGCTCGCTGACCGACAGATGGAACATCTTAGAGTGGCCAACGCGCCTGGCCAACCAAATGGCCAGCGTGACAAAGTGATAGCAGCGCAGCTGCCAGAGCTGCTTGGAATTGCGCAGAGCTTGCAAAAGACGCAGTGCATCCCGCAATGCTTGGCCGCAGCGGTCCACGTGCTGCAGCTCCGCCTGCGCATTGCTGATCAGGAACGTGAAATGCTGCGTATTCCCGCTCGTATATTTGGGAATTGCAAGCCAGGTGCCTGATTTGGGACGCACAATTTTTACGGCCGGCACGAAGTCAATGTGAAAGATCCGTGACGGAGACTCCGCCGTGATGGTGTACGTAATGCCGCGCCACTTGTAGTCCAGCGTATACTCGTCGTAGTCCCCGTACACCACATTGCCATAGTTGTCCAGGGCATTCACAAAGATGTTGTTCAGCCAGCGCTTGAGGCTATAGCGATTCATGTACATCCTATTATTGTTGGCCAGGCGCTTGAACACCATATTGTCAACACAGGCGTCCGAGAAGTCCAGGAACACCATTCCAGGATGCTGCTCGTCGTCCACCTGCTCGATGCGGCTGTAAGCCGGAAAGCGCAACTCCATCAGCACATCAAGCTCGTCGTCATCGTAGAGACGTACATCATGCGCCATGCTGCCTGTAATAGATACAAATCCATCTGTATCCCAACATATAGTTGAGATAGATTTGGGCGCTTACCGAATAGTATGTCGTTTTGGCATATCTTTCGAAAGTAGGAACCCTGATTGCGCATTATGCTCAATACGTAATCCTTGACAGCAAAGAAGTCGTTGGCATTGGTCGAATCGTTCGGGTTTCTAATATCATCGGCAATCTCGCGCAGACAAAACTCAAAATTCGACATTTCGATGGTGCTGTGAGGACTTCCAGGACTGCTCGTGAAATAACATGATCAGATTGGATACAATTGTGGTAAGAACTAAATATTTGTTCAATTAAATATTATTATTATTTATCTACAGTTAGATCAAAATAACATGGTTGAAACGCACCTCATATTGATTTTTACATAGAAAAACATAAAAGCTTTTTCCGCCCATTTTCCGATCGTGTATTCGGATTGGTTTGGTCAAAACCAAAGCCCAGGCGCAATATTTCGTGTCCTAACCCGATTTCGATAACGATTGTTATCGATTTCGTGTAAACAGTACGTGTTATCGATATACTAAGACTACCCACATTTAGAATTTCAAGACTCTAGCTCTTTTTTTTCCTCTTATTGATCGACGCGTTCATACATATCATATATTCATAGAAACATATGTACAGACACATGTTAATGCTAAAGATTGTGTCCTCTTCTCAACCTGAGTGGGATTTTATTGATAAGGAACTTGAATGGCGGCTTTCTTCAAATTGATTTCATGTTGCGAATGTTAACCGTTATTGTTAATTATCGTCAAATGAAATAAGCTATGTATTGTGATAAGTAAATAAGCAGGTATATATGTATGCATGCATGTAATGTGTATGTGTCCAATTACATGCAGTTATTTACATACATATGTGCGTACATATACGTATATTACTACATGCATACATATGTAGCTACATATATTCCTTTGTGTGTATGTATGTGTGTTATATACGAAACATATTACATGGTGAGCGCTGCGATAACTGCATCAAAATTCAGAACGCTGCTGACCAGCCACGGGACATGTTGGGGCCGCTTTGCTCCACACGGACACACGCACGTCAGTGAATACATACATGCACAGAAGCACACCTATGCATATAGCATGTACATACATGAGTATATGTATATGTATACTAAATATACATATGTATGCGTGTACATAGGTACACACGCAAAGCGCTGGGCTATGCCGCAGTCCCGGACATCGTTTATCGATTTGCGAAAAGCAACAACAGCAGCAACAACTAAAACAACAACAACAACAACAAAAACAACAAAAGCTCAAAATAAGCGGCGGCAACTTCGTCGCTCTTTGTAGGCCGCGCCGCTTCAGCATGATAGCGAGACCCCAAACAGCAGCAGCGGCAGAGAATCAGCAGCAGCAACAACAACAACAACAAAAAACAACAAACACACACACACACACACTTATACATATACACACACAATACATATAGCCATGCACAAATACATTCACACTTCTACACGCCCATGCACACAACCATGCCTCCGGCTTCACGCCGCCGCACGCAAACGCGCCACGCCCCACTCCCGCTCCTCTCGCCCAGTTTCCCCTCCCTTTGTCTGCCCGTCCGCTCAGCCATTTGGCGCTAGTGCTTGGGGGAGGGGAGACGCGCATTGCCGTCCCTCGGCTGGCTGCCGGGCTTTTGATGGCAATGATGATGATGACGACGAGAACTGGTGACTGGGAATGGGGAGGCCACAAGGACGCGGCAGGCGGCACACTGTATGGGTAGGGGCGCTAAATGAAGAGGAGGGAGGAGGGGTTTGGCGATGTGCGGCAGTCATTCGCCGTAGGAGCTGGTAAAAGGAAGGTGCTTGTTGGCTGCCGCTGCTGCTGCCGTTGTTGACGCTGTCGCCGTCGCCGTCGCTGGCTGAAGCACGGGACATAGAGAAAAGCGAAAAAATATAATAAAAGCAACAAAAACGCGCACAAGCTGAAGAGATACAAGCATACACACACACATACATACACACATATATGCAGGCGCGTCGACGACGACGACGTGTACGTGTTAGTTTGGGTACGCTAGTCCGCCACACAAACACAATCTCAATCGCACACAGAGACATACACACACACACACACACACACACATACAAACAGACACACGCACATACTGTAGAAGGAGCTGTGCGGGCGGGACGCAGTGCTTGGGAAGGGAACTGGTCGTAGGTTCGCTACAGTCGCAAGCCAGCGACAGCAGCTGAGTGGGCCAAGTGTGGCGCTGGCTGAGACAACGACGACGACGACGACGACGGCAGCGGCGACAGCAACAGCAACAAAACAACTTGAAAAAGGAAAAGAGCCGCAGCGAGAAACGATGCTGGGGATGCTGTGGACCGAGGGGGCGGTGGGGTGGGTATGGCAATGGGGCACAAAATTCTACAACGTTGCTGTTGCTTTAAGAATCGATGGAAACAATTTGGGATGCTGTTCAACAGCCGCAGCCGCAGCGGCAGCGTCAGCGGCGGGCGGCCGTTCGTTTTGCTCGTTCGCTCGGGCCGCAGCCAAAGCAGCTTATGACGAGACGAAAAACAGGGGGGACGGGACAGCACATAAAATGCGAGTCAGCTCAGCGACGGCGGACAGCAGCCAGCAGCAGCGACAACACTAAAAACAAAGCTAAAGAAGAGCAGAAGAGGAAAACGGCAGCAAAAGTTATTTAACAACAACAACAACGAAAGCTGCCGTGTTGCAAAAATACAAATATAGGAAGAGGGAAAGATGAAGAGTGCGAAACAAAGCACAGAGCGCAACGGAGAGCGAGAGAGAGAGAGAGAGAGAGAGAGAAAGAGAAAGAGACAGACGTTTGTGAGAGGGCGGTGGCCGCAACAACTGATAAGAGCGGCGACAACGGCTGAACTTTACAACAACAACATTTAGACATCGGAAACAGTGCAATGCAGAGAATGAACGACGATCATTTCAAGCAGCGGGTGTCAAAATCAGCTGCCCAGCTAATTTTATTTATGTACCGTACATATGTACATACATGTGCATGTGCATACATAAGTATGCTAAGTAATGACCTTGAACTTCAGTATCTGCAATGCCAACTGCTATTTGCATCGAATGAAGGTGCAACACTTTTGTGCAATGCAAATAATGCAACTTGTAGCTGAATTCGGGCGGGCAAATGCAAATGTAAGAGAGAAAACGCACTCACGCACACACACACGCACGCACGCACGCACACACACACACACAAAACAATCAGGCTGAGATTAAAAGCATTGATCTGAGCTTTGGCACAGCTTTCAGAGTTTACTATGAAATGCACATCCGATTGAAAACATCCGTTAGAAAACCGTTAACGTGGATAAAAGCTTTTCACGCGTAGGAAAGTAACAATCGCAAATTAATTGCAGTTATAAATATCTTTCGATTTTTGCTTTCTAAACGTTAAAGGAGGCCAAATCAATACCTGCGAAGTGTTGGTCTCTGTTGTATACAAAATTAGAGGTCAATACACCTGTTAATATTTGGGGTATTCTTGAAACTGATCAACAAATTCACCAAGGACTATAGAAAACGTAGATCTGTTAGTTGCCAGGATAGTGATTAGAGCAATAGTTTTGTACAAGCCCCAAAACAGGACCCCCCCCCAAATACCGCATAGTGTAAATGTGGGCGTTGTTTCACGGGGAAGAGTGGGGTGTTTTTACAGTATGAAGCTCGTCAGCTCTGGCATGTACGGTCGTACACATGCACAAGCACACACACACACACACATGCAAAGGCATCATCAAACAACAAAAACAAACCGAAACGGCATCACCAGCAGCAGCAGCAGCAGCAGCAACAACAACAATAACAAACCCATGCTTTTGCCTTGTGGGTCGCGGCAACAGCAACGGACGAACGTAGTCATGAAATTGAGTTTGGTTTTGTTGTTGCTGTTGTTGTTGTTGTTGTTTAAGTTGTAGCTGCTGCTGCCGTTTGGCTCCGCACAGCAGCGGGCGTCGCATGTGGGCGGTTAACAGAAACGTTGTAGCGGCGCTGTAGCGGCGGCAATGGCGTCGCAACCGTTGCGCGCTTATTGCGAGCGCCAAACTGCGCTGTCGCTATATACCTCGGCTCTGTGTGTGCGTAAATGTACGTCTGTGTTTGTGTACTTATATTTGTGTCTGTGAGTGGGTATATGTATGTATGCATGTATATGTATGTATGTGCATGTCATGGGGCTGGCTGCCTGCCGCCGTTGTTACTGCTGCTGCTGTTGAACGCCAACGACGACTCCAACAACAACAACGACGACAACAACAACGACGACGACGACGGCGGCGATGATGATGATGATGAGGTTGTGCTGCTTCTTGTTCTTCTTTACACGTCCTCCAACGACGGTTCGCCTCACTGTCGCTTCGTTCGTACGCTGGCGCGTTACTGTTGTTTTTGTTGTTGCCCTGCCTGCCTGCCTGGCTGCTGTCGCGTCGCTGGCGCCGCTGCCAGCTGCGGTCTCTGCTTTTGCTGCTGCTGCTGCTGCGGCTGCCGCCGCTGCCGATGCCTCTGTTAGGTTGTGTGCATGCAGCTCATGTGCGCTCTCCTCATTCAAGTGTCCAACTTTTGTCGAGGCGGTCATACAAAACGGCAGTCGCTCGCTCGCTCGCTGGCCTCTCGCTGTTCGCAGTTCGCTCGTTGCCTGTACGCTTCGCTTTGCCTGTTCTTTGCCTTTCGGTCGGAGGGGGAAGGCGCTGTGGTCGTGGTCTTGCCGTCAACGGTCAATAGCGCGCCCACACGCCTATAAAAAGAATTCTGTTCGTGTCGCTTGTGTATGTGTTTGTGCGTGCGTGCGTTTGTGCGTTCGTGAGTGTATTAGTGAAAACTGCCAAAGCGGCGCTGCAAAGTTTTTGAAAAACCGTTAACGCCAAGCCATGAAGGAAATGAAGGTAGCGCGAGCGATTAGCGAATCCTCGACCACCTCCGATAATACATCCGATTTTATTGACATTGTCAAGAAGTACGATGTCGTCTACAACAATCATAATCCCGATTATAAAAACGTTGAGGTGAAGATGAAGGTCTGGACACAAATAGCGGACGAGATTGGATTATCTGTGGGTAAGGAGCAAACATCGCCAAAGCGGCACAGAAAAACAACAAAAACATATACGTACATACATACATACATGCATACACACTTAGAAATCTACGAAATACAAAAAAAGGAAGTTGTGTGGCGGCGGTAACAGAGAATCGCAGCGGCCGCCTGTTCGCTCAAATTCAATTACTACGTGCACGGGAAACATGCACACTCGCATACATACACAGATGTATATACACACACTTGTATATACTGCGAAACGCACACACTCAAACTCAACCAGCGGCGCGCGTCGCACAGCTAAGCGGACAAATGTTCTGCCGTCGTCGCTTCGACGACGAACCGCCGGCCGTTTTATTTTGTGTATGTGTTCTTCTTGTATGTATATATACATATGTATATATTTGTGTGTTTGTATATGTGTAAGCATGTGCAAGAGCGTGAGCGCGCCTACAGATGACTGTATGTGGGGGCGACTGCGGTGCGGATGGCATGGCGCTGTGCAGAACGCGGCCGCGGTCGGCGAATTGCAGTGAGAGACAAAAACAAAAACAAGAAGCAACCAAAGCTCACCGAAACCGATATACCCTGTCACTTATTTATTTCAATGTTGTCGTACTCTTATCTATGAAACAGAATACAATAATTAATTCAATAATTCAAATATTATACGTTTTATAGAGCAAAAGTGTTGCTTTGTTCAATCATAATGATGATGTTCAATCGTAACAAACTGCTTGACAAAATCATAGTAGCTACAGCAAGAGTAAAATGAAAACACGAACACGCAGAAAACGCAAACAAAAACATAAGAGCGAAACTGATACAAGCAGCGCGTTGTGCGGTGTTGTTATTGTTTTTATTGTCAGTGCGATGCTGAGAGAGAATTTTGCGCCGCACACTTTGACGTATGAATGTGTAGTAAAACTGAGAACAGGACAACGTGTCCATTGCCAAAATCTACACCTTAAAAATGGAAACGGTTTTTTGTTTTCCCAATCTGTCCCAATTACACAAAGAACGGCTAATAAATAAAATTGATGTTAGCATTTATTGTACATGTAATGATTCCGTTTTCTTTAACAGCACTAGCCATGACACCCTGTTGCTTCTGCGCATCGTTTTTCCTCTCTCTCTCTCTCTCTGCCACTCTCTCGCACTCTTTGCCTTCTCTCAGTTCGTGTACTCGAATGTCAGCATAAAAACAAATGCCGTAGCAAATTTGTTGCCATTTTGTTGTTTTTGTTGCGCGCAGACCAATTGGTCGCTGTTGCATTTCACTTTCATTGGAAGTTTTAACTAAAGTTCTAATTGTGTGTGACTTTTTATCAATGGTAATGTGAGTTTTAATGAACTTATTTTCGCTTGCACTAATATTAATGCACACAGTTGTACTGAACAGCGCTGTTTTTATCATTCCATTCTTGGCATACGTACATGTATGTATGTATGTATGTACACATATTCCTTAAAACGTACTTACATGCATATAACATGTATGTATTTATTTGAAAACAGTTTTATTTACATTTTTGAAAACTTGAAATCACACTTACGCCAGGCTTTTTATTTATGTATGTATGTATATGTATACTGGAAATCCTCCAAAATCCTCGCCTGGAACACATCCACTTCGGTTAACAGAACTTGATCAACTAAATCAAGAACAAAATATAAAAGCAAGCACAGCTAAGGAGTTAGCGCACTTATCGCCGGTCTGGAAAGGAATAGTGAAAGGGAGTGGGAGTGGGAGAGGGAGAGCGACAGGGAGAGATCAAATAGCTGGAGTCGTCAAAACAGAACAAGCACTTAGAGATGAACCGTTAAGCGAGTCACAGTGACAAGATGTTGAATGCCAGAAGTTACAGTACTTTAGTTCAGTTATTCATAATTGCATGAAAGTCAAGTATAGGCAGTTTAACTTATTCTGTTGATCACATAATTCACTTAAAAATGTCTATATGTTGATCAATTTAACTGATTACTGAACACTTTTTAGTTACATTTACTTGAAATTATCAGCAACTTTACAGTAATGTTAAGTAAGCAGTGCAATCTGTAATAACAGACAACTAATAATTCCATAGCTTTTCTGTCTCTGTTAAGTATTTCTGAATACAGTCGAACAAAAGTCACTTATTAAAAGTCACGATCAGTTTGATCGCAGGAAAGGCTCATCTCTAACATGTGACAAACCGAGCAGTTCTTATGATTGGCTAGAAATACGATATTGTATACAAATGTATGTGTATGTGAGTATGTATGTCTGCAAGTGGGAGTGCTTGGCGCTCAATGTTTTCGTTTGGAGATCGTTCGAAGAGGCAATAAAAAAGGACGGCGTCATCAAATTTCCATTGCTAAAACTGTATTCCAATACATGCATATAAAATATGCTTATACATTATTATTTGGATGTAAGAAATATATGGAAATATAAGTACATATACTCTATACATACATACATTCATAACCCTTCGCATAAGTCGAATAGCCTTATTGCACACTAAAGGTATGCAATCGAAAAAATTAAATATTTGTTCGCAAAAGCTATATACATACATATATATGTATGTTCAAGACAAGTATGTAGACTTTACTACAATATCCATTGGTCCATCTTCTCGTATAGCTCCATAGAATCAATGTAAACCTTTTTGTCCCAATACATCCCAATATACCATATCGCAAGTCGGTGAAGTTACTTAATCCTCGGCATCCCGAATATTGGAGCCGGAAGAATCGGATTACTATGTGATCAATTTCTGATGCAGATCATGTCTGACATCCTGACATTATCTGATTATCTTATTAAAACAATTTCATTTATTTTCACAGAAGCCTCAAAGCGAAAATGGAAAAATCTACGCGACAGCTATACAAAGTATTTGCGCTCTTTTCGTGTTGGCACAAAAACCTCCAAGAAATATCAGTATTGGGCGCACGCCGATCACATGGAGTTCCTGAAGCCTTTCCAGGGACCTGGCAGGTGAGTCCTTCAAGCCTTGTCTCGGCTGTGGAACGCCTTACTAATTGGTGTGCTCTCTCACAGGAATTCGGCGAATGGGAATGGCAAGTCGAATGATGAGGATGACACCGAATGCGACTTTGGGTATCAGGTGCTTGCCAAGGCGGCCAGCAATGGGGGCGAGGAGGATCTGAAGATAACCATAGCCACGGCCACGGCGACGGCCACGGCATCGACCTCGGCGCTGAGCACCCAAACCGTCAACAGCTACACAACCCCAATACTGACGCCCAGCGTGGCAGCCACGCCGCCCAGCCTCATCTCGCCCGGCAGCAATCCCGGTGCGCCGCCCCAGAACCACAACAGCAACAGCAATGGCAGCAATGGCAACTGTGCCGCAGTCGCTCCACTGACCCTCAGCGCCATGACACCGCCAGCCAACAGCAGCAGCTCGAATAGCGGTGTGCTGCCTCTGCCCGCCTTGCCGCTCAGTGCCGCTGGCAAGGCTTCGGTGGCGGCCTCGGTTAGTGCCAACGCGGCGGCGTTGGCAACGCTAGCTAGTCTGCCCATGGGCATTGGCGGTCTGCCGGCTGCAGCGGCTGCTGCGCAAATGTTTCCGCTGGCTACGCTGAAAGCGGCCGCAGCTGCCGCTGGACTGCCGCTGACGTCCACGCCCAACTGCAGCACGGCCAATAATGTGGGCTGTTTGATTATCGAGCCGCATCTGTTTGCCGCCGCGGACAACTTCAAGAAGGAGCTGAGTGCGGCTGCCGCGGCCGGCGCGCCGCTGGGTCTGTTCCAGAATTTGGCCAATCGACATCATCTCAATGGTAATGCTGCATCGTTGGGGCTGGGCAATCCCACGCCACCGCCGCCACCTCCGGCGCCGCCCAGCTCAAAGGTGCGGCGGGCACAGCCCTCGCCGCAGACCGCTGCCATTAATCTGAGCTGCCCGAGCTCATCGGCAGCAGCGGCGAACTGCTCTCAGCCCTCACCCGCCAAGACGCGCAAGATGAGCGATCCGCGATTTCCCAGCGATTGGGATGTGTCCGCTGTGCTGCAGGCCAATCGGGAACTGGACGCCAATACGCTGTTCTTTCTCAGTCTGGCGCGACAGGTGCGCGCCATGCCCATGAAGTTCCAGTCGCTGGCCAAGATGCGCTGCATGCGCATCGTCAGCGACATTGAGCTCGAGCTGGAGAACTTTGACTGCAACGGCGTGCCGCCACCCGAGGAGTCGGGCAGCACAGCTAATCTTAAATACTGTACCGACACGCCGCCTCCACCGCAACAGGATGGCTCAGCGCTGATGGCAGCGCCGGGAATGGGGCCCGAGGGCTCCACGGAACACTTTGTATATGTGATGTCGCCGTCGCGCGTGGAGAGCATGATCGACATTTCCTCCGACGAGGAGAGCAATATGAACGGAGGATTGAGTGCGGCTGCCGCTGCTGGTGCAGCCGCCGCCGCTGCAGTTGCCGCGGGAGCTGTCCATTGAGGCGCAAATCTCTGGCTACCTTGCTTATAAATACTTACAGATGTATTGTTAACCTTAAGTAAACTTAATTAGATGCATTAAAATGCAGTTTGTCGTCTTAATTCTGGTTGATGGACTTTTGACATTTTATTTACACGATTCTCGAACTTTAAGACTTAATGATAAAAAATGTGGAAAATCTCTAGAAAATGCTACACTAGATAGGCAGCCCATCCGACGTGTTCCAGGCATGCGAATCGCTAATAATGTCGTTAATTTGTTACTACTTGGTATGGTGAATGAATTTCATTCAGGAAGTCGACGCGCATCCAATCCCAGGCACATGCTTGGCCTTAGGACTGAACCTTGCTCTTGGTGGTGAAGGCAAAGTAGGCGACGCCGCCCACAAGCAAGGCGGCGAGCAGCTCCGCCTTAATCCAGGGTCCCTTGTACGCGCCCTTTGTGGGAACCGTGATGTCCAGCAGGGACTTGACCGACGACACCTTATCGCCATCGCGCTGTGCCTTGCGCACATTGGCATAGCCGTCCTCGTCGAAGAGACGCACCTGCACGTTGCCGCTGCTGCCCTGCTTGATGTCCTCCACCCAGCTCACCTGCGAGTGCATTGGATGAAACTGTTGCTCTGATGTCCAAGAGAATGTGGACAACTCACCTGGTATTTGCTGTCGCCCACCTTGGCAACGGGCACCACCTTGCCGCATGGGAACTCGGCAAACAGACTGGGCTGGGCCGAGTTGCTGCACTGCAACGTGAATTCGGCCACATGCGCCAGCTGGGTCAGAATTGTTGCATCCTGCGTGCTGAAGGCACTCAACGTGGCCTTGCAGCTGCCCTGGGCGCCAGTTGCACAGGCGACGGCAATGAGGCAGAGCGCAAACAATTGGCGTTGCATATTCTTGCGTTTGTGTTTTAATTGAAAATCGAATAAACGAAATATAGCGTACAACTCGAACCCAATCGGCGACCGAAACTTTCTATCTCTGTCAACGCCACGACAGCAAACGTCACTTGACAGCCGACGTCGACGAGACGTCAGCAGCAAACGTCATTTCTCAACATTGTTAACGTTTCAATGTTGCCGGATCGTCCGAGTTAGCTCTGCGCTAACTGACAAGAGCTGCTATGTACGTTATATGGCAATCAGCTTCAATACAGCTGCGTCTAGTTTTTAAATTGTTTGGCGGTAAAATTATAAATCTTGATAATACAAAAATATACAAATTTACGGATTGAATAAGAATTGGCATAAAGTACACAGCATAAAATAGAACCAGAAGATAGTATCATTTTTATTATATTTTTTATATTTTATATAATTGTGCTGCAAATCAGTCAATTTTTTATTTTAAATGTTAATACGTGTTGGAAATCTAAGGCATTCAGGAAAATTATCTACCATTTGTAATCAAACTCAACATAATGATAATGAGGTCATGAATGTAATTTGATTATTATTTAGTATGCTAGTGTTTTCCTGATTAGGAATTCGCGCCTATTATATTGGTTATCCACGGTATGAAGCTGGCAATGTTTGTGTAGACGGCCGGAAAGCCGCTGCCACAGCTGCGGGCACCATAGCTGACAATGCCGAACTGGACAAAGCGTTGTCTGTTCGAATATATGGCCGGGTACGACAACGGGCCACCGGAGTCACCTCTGCAAGAGTCGCTCCTGAGTGCTCCGGCACAGAGTTGGGTCTGTTTGATTTCCCGGGCGTACGAATTAAAGCACGATCGGCGCGTCTGTGTATCGATGGCCGTCTCCAGCAGAACATCAGAATCGCTGCCATCCTCCGTGGTGCCCCAGCCAGTTACAACAAAATTTTCACTCGACTCCGCCCTTTGCTGCAAAGTTGCATTAATCGGCAAGCAAATGGGCCTGATGTGTGCTACAAGCAGGGAATTATTAAGAGCCATAGTCTCCACGATCCACACGAAATACTCACGCTTGAAGGCCACGGGGCGGGCCAGCTGAATCAGAGCTATGTCATTGTGGTTCGTCTCCGGCACGTAGTCCGCGTGCCTAAAAACCCGCTCCACGTCAATATCCTCAACGGGCGGCAGGCATCTGATGGTTCTGCCCGCTGGCTTGCAGTCCGTTTCCGTAGATAATTGATGCTCGCCTAAGCGCACAGATACCCTGTAAATTGCAATTGTAGCCAAGGTGCTGCCGGGTTGATATGTTATGCTTACAGTTCGTTTCGCGTCAAGCAGTGGGCGGCGGTGAGTACGAAGCCTGCATTTAAATTAAAATTCATTTAGTTCCTATCTTCGATCCCCGATCCTCGATCCTACTTACGATCGGTTATGAGCGTGCCAGCGCACGCAAAGGCCTCGTCTTGTCCGTGACGCAAGCGGAGCAAGCTCATCCAAGGCCTGGAGCCCAGGGCAACCTCGTGACCATTGGTTATTCGGATCGTTAAAAAAATGCCGCACTTTTGTGCTTCCAATATCCGCAGTCCGTTCGCCTCGTCAGCCCGCACACAGAGCTGGGGATTGCACTCAGATATCGCTTAAGTCCACAATTAGCCGATCCCTACTACTTACAGACTGGCTCCACAGGATCGTGCACAGTATCAATAAGCTGGAAGGCAATTGCATCTTGCTGAATGCACTTTCGTCGCGCGTCTACTGAAGATTCGCTTTTGTTGTTGACTCTTATAGGCACAATCAGGAGCATAAGAGCTTATCACGTTTGTTGGGTCAAATGTAAATAAAATACATAATACAAAAAAAAATATATATATACCTGTGCTTACATTGATAAGCCCTCCATCATTCCTAACAACAACAAACAAATTTCATAGCGAAAGGGTAAGAGCAGAGCATACAATGTGGTATACTTTGTGGAAAAGATTTGCATTTTCTAAACGGGCGGAAAGTGGGTGGAAAAATGATTTTTTAATTTAAGGATGGACAACGCCGGGTAATATCGGCTTATATAATGTTGGCTCTCTCGGACATTTCTGATGCTTTATGGCGTTAGATATGCTTTATTCTCTGTCTTTAACATAAATTTGAATAAAACCATTTTACTTGTTTTGTAGCGAATTTCTGTGTTTGGCATATACTGCCCTTCTATGCAATTCTCATGACTCACGAAGTGTTCAGCTTTTGCTTTCTCTCTCTCTCTCTCTCTCGCTATCTGTCTTTCCCTCTCTTTCTCTCTCTCTCCCTCTCTCTATCTCTCTCTCTCTCTCTCTCTCTCTATCTCTCTCTCTATCTCTCTCTCTCTCTCTCTGTTTGGGTCTTTTGTACTCTACCTCTCTCTCTCTCTCTCTCTCTCTCTGTTTGGGTCTTTTGTACTCTACCTCTCTTTCGTTTTCTCTCCCAAACCTTTTCTTATTGTATTCCTATTTATTTCTCCTGCCTTGACTCTAATCAATCCCTGTCATTCCACGAATCGTTTTCTATGTTGTATTAATTATATTGTTGCAATGAGTTGAATAATGAGCAATGAAAGTCCTGCAGGGTACCTCGTAGTCAGTCACCTTTAATGGCAATCGTTTATTGAAATGGTTATGGATCTCGGCCGGGCAATGTGGTGCCTGCTCGTACCGGCTGGTATTTTGACACCGCCTGACAAATATGAATTTATTTAGCGCCGTTTGTTTAGCTCATTTCCACTATTATAATTGACTCGAGATTGCGAAAAGCGAAAATGAATTTTCCTGCCAAAATGCCGGCAAGAAAAAGGTGCTGAGGGTAGGCCAATAAATATTGACTTGTTGTGATTAATGCGCCCGGCTCGGGCTTCGGTTCCGGCTCGGGCTCCGGCTCGACTTTCAGTTTTGTTTTGAGTACTCGCAACGATTTTCGACTGCAATAGAATCTATTCGAATATATATCCAAATACTCGCATGGACGGGAATATGTGAATGGCATGTGACCCTGAAATCGGCTTGATTTGGTGCTCGATGCCATTTGCTGTTTCGTTTTTGTTTTTGTTGCTATTGTTTCTACTACCATGTGAACCATCCTCATCCCCATCCCGCCCAGCTGCGACTGCCTCGCGGAGCAGTTAGGTTCGTTACTTTTTGATTGCCAGCGTGCACGAAAAACTTGTATTCAACTTTGCATGTCTTTGATGAATTTGAAATTGTCACAAATGTGAAAGTTTTTCACTTGCCATCAGATATTCGTACTGCTCCCTCCCCCTCCCCTCTCTTTCTCTCTCTCTCGCTCTGCTTGAAATTTGCATCTAACATTTGTTGACATTGAGCGACTTGCACGAGTTGACTTCACGCACTCTCGCCCGGCGGCGATTCATTCATTCATTGGGCCCATTGTGTTGGCCCGGTTACGCACAGGGATTTGTTGTTGGTTAAATATCGTAATCCTCTCGGCCCATTTGATAGCATTCAAAGTGGGCGTGTGCGTGGAATATACCATATTCGGCAGGCGTCGAAATGAAAACAAAAGTTCGTGCGAGTTCATTGAGTTGGCAAAACTTGCCAGTCAGCCAATCAGCCCTAAATGCTGGCGAGGGACGTTTCACAAATACCCTGCAAAGGATGAAAAGGATTATAGGCATACCCAATCGAAGTCAAAGGGAGATTTTTCTATGTCTTATGGCAGGTTAGTTACGATCTTTTATTAAGGAACTCATCAGAAATTGTATCATAAAGTCCTTCAATCTTGTTTTTTATACCCTGTAACTGATAAAAGGGGTATTTATCAAAATAATGTTTATATGTTCTTGATCAGCATCAATAGCCGAGTCGATCTAGCCAAGTCCGTGTCTCTGTCCGTTCATCCATCCTTCCGTTTGTATGGACGCAAGGATCTCGGAACCTATAAAAGCTGGAGACTTGAAATTTGGAACGTAGGTCCTCCTAGTCCTCGCGTAGTACGAGTTTTTTTTCCGATAACCGAAAAATAAATGAGAGCTCCAATTGGAATCAGACAACCAATTAAAGGCCGTTGTCTTCATGCGAATATTCGGAAATAGGAAAGATAAGTCGGTAATTCCATTGTCAATATTTGCTTAAGGACTCTCATCCGTCTGCACTCCAAGAGGAACCTCAAGGCGAGCTCTAGTCTGTGGCTTAGGCTCAGCTTAATCTTGCTGGAATTGTAATACCTGCCGAGCAGCCCTCGTTGCGGCGTTGCCTGCACGTGTGCGCTCCGGCGGAAATGGGACAAACAGTTCAGTGGGAGTCAAGTCGAGCGACAGCCGAGCCGCAGCACCGCTGGCGATGGCGCCGCTTCCAGCACGGATACGGACACGGGTACGGGAGTGGGTGCGGGTGTGTGTTTGGTGGAGGGGGTGGAGGGGGGCGTTAGCAACGCCCATGCGGGCAAGTTGTTTGTTGGTTTGTTGGCTTGTTGACTTGTTTGTTGGCAACATGACGAAGCTGCTCCAAGCGGGCGCTTCATTCACAAAACGCAGTTGGCGGGCGGCAGGCAAACAAAGTGGACGTGGAAAGTCAGAGCCACCCGAGCTGGAATCTGGAACCTGAGGCGGCGAGGAGTTGGAGGTGGACGCCTGGCACCTGGCCATAACAATTGCAAATTAGCTCCAAGTGAAAGTTGACGTCAACTCAAGTGGCAGCCGCGCCGGTTCGTGACTGTAGCCGGTTTTTGCTTTCGATTCGGATTCGAGCCCGCAACCCGCCCAGCGCCTTTGTTGACAAAGTTATTGCCTGGCTATTGCCTAATGGCAAAGTAATTGATTTGCATTCGATGAGGATGTGCGGCAATTGATTCTCTGCTGAAGCGTTCGCACAGCAGTCGGCTTTTGGCCATCAAACGGAATACCACACACTCCTGGCCATGTCGTTGTCCGTGGCAAGCCGCCGTCGCTACCAGACGACAGCAACGTCGACGTCGCAGCTGACGTCGACGTCGACTGCGTCGCTGGCCGTGCGCAAGCAGCATTCGCTCATGGAGCCGGCCAGCCACGCCCATGGCGTAAGCAGATATTCAGCCCAGCAGCGCGGTTATTTAACGCGTGGCCTCTCCGTCGGCCGCTCCATTGAGAACATTCGCCAGAAGCTGTACGCGCCCAGTCCGGCGGGCCGCCTGAGTCGCCAGACATCCTTGGCCCTTGACGAGTCCGCGGCCAGAATGGCGGGCCGGCTAACGCCCTCGCAGCCGGACCTTGGCATTCGATTGAGGGACAAGAGCCTGGTGGCCTGGTCATCAACATCCTCTCTGCAGAAGACGCCGCTGGTCGGTGACGGTGGCCAGAAGCAGCGGCTGCCGGAGGAGCCGAAAGAAGACCAAACACATTCAGAAAAGTAAGTCAACTACGGAGCACCATTTCCAGTTAGGGGTATTTCTGGGGTATATCCATTGAAAGTGCTGCCGTTTGGGCGATACCTGGTATATTCCGGGTATATATGCCTCGCACATTCCAGCTTCCTTCAAACACAACCTCACAATTGTGAAGCAACTAACTGTGTGCATAGTAATAATAACCAGGAAGAACGACTATCTCCAGCACGCCGGAGAAAAAATACCCTTACGCTTTTGCAGATTGAGCTTTGTGAAGATATTTTGGATAACTGAACAAATTTGTTCACGTTTACTCAAGTTTCCTATTTCAGCTATACGTAATAGTAGTCCGATAAGTATAAGACCTTCCTCATATGCAACATCACAGTAAACTAAAGAGTTCTATTTTTGGCAAGATATCTTCAATAACAGATTTTGTAATAAAGGTCTTGTCATTCATCCCGATCAAATACATATAGAAGAACTTTATGTAGTCTGAGCTGTCTTCCCCCATGTGTGACACATTTTGTCACAGCATTGTAATGCCTTTTGCTAGGGTATAATAAGTATATATACTATATGTAATAGTCGAACATATACTAGTTTATATTACTCGTCTGACTAAAGATTGTTCACACAAGCAATTCATCAATAACAAGAGTTCGATTGAATTGATCTAGCTTTATAAAAAAAGCTGACATCATAAAGTACTCTTATAGAAAACCCAATTGTTCTTAGAGATATCTTCAAAGTCACAATGTATTACTTTCATTGAATTGTTTATAGATAATTGCTTTCGTTTTATGGCCAAAACATTGTTATCAATTGTCGTTAGAAAACGGGTTCTATTTCGGTTTTTTACACGACACCAATTAATGTTTGCTTTAACACGCAGAGCTATCTGATTTTTGATAGATTTTGACCAAGATTAAATAGCTATACACAAAAAGTGCGATTGGTTATATTAATATATGGCAAGATCCTGATCCGAATAATGACCTGTATCGATCTAGACATGCTCGTCTGTCTCTCCGTCTCACATACTATACCCAAAACCCGTCAATATCTCTTTCCATTTCCAAAACTACAAGCAACACCGAATTGAAGAATTGTTTTCTTAAGCATGTCTCGAAAGTTATAAGAGCTAGAGAATTGGATGTGGATCGACTCTCGTATATGGAGTATATGCAGCTTTCACATTTCTCACTTCTTGCATGCGTCTCTCCACTCTCTTAAATTTGGAGAAAAAACGGATTCCTTTAAGTCAGATCTGTTACATGCACATATTTGGTTGCCATAAAAATCGGACTATATACTCCGACGCCATTTACAGAAGAAAACTTGAATGATTATAAGACAACTTGTTCTACATATATGTTTTTGTATCAGCACATGTGAAATAAGTATATATTAATGCAGAACATTTAAGAATAGTTGTGCGATTAGATTAGATACGATTTAAACTAATTTTGCTCCATCTTATGAAAGTACAATGATATTGGGACATCATGTACATCGAAGACATTCTTAATAAACTTATTCCCATTACATGAACTCCACACGTTCTCCCAATAAAATATATAACTGACCTAAGACAACATTATTAATCCTGCAGATATATATACATATGTATATATGGCTAAAAGTTAAAGAAGTTATGTTTTGTATGCAAGAGTGTCAATGATTAGTTTGACCATGTCAAGTTTGCAGCTCCACATGCGTAGAGCTTATTAACATATAAATGCATGTTTTTATATTCGCATAAAACGAGCTGGTTAACCGCGCCCCCTTCCCCTCTCTCGAAATGACACTTTCGATACTTTGCGCAATTTGCATGCTTGACGCCGACGTCAAAGTTGTACATGTATGCATGTGTGCATGTGTGCATGTGTGCATGTGTGCGATGCATATGATTAGGCTGGCGCAAACACACGGCTGACATGCGGGCCCGGATCCGGCCCGGACTTGGAGACGTGCTCGAGTGCGGGCCACCTGCCGTGTCACTCAGGCACCGCGTCGCGGCACAGTTAAGTCGATCAGCAGGCGTCGGAGGATTAGATAGCCAGAGCTGTGAGTGTAACTGTAACTGTAACTGGAGCTGAAGACAGGAACTGGTTCATTGAACTTTGGCCCGAACAAGACATTTTTTGGGCGCGAATTGTAAATGTAATTGACATGGTTTCGTTTTCAAATTCGAATGCACACAAACAGACAGACGGAAAGACAGAAAGACAGACAGACTGGAGCAGGAGCTTGCTGCCTAGCGTGAGAAGGGGGAGTAGAAGGTGGGCAGGTTTTAGGCGTTGCACGAATTAATTTCTATTTCGGGCCGCAATGTTGCATGCGGCCAATTCGCATGTGGAATCGAGCACAGCATAAATTGCAAACTAATGCCAAATAATTTGATTTAAATTTAGCCAAGCCCGAGTAGGTCACTCGGTCAGTCAATCAGTCAGTCAGTCAATCAATCAGTAAACACTCATATGCTTTCTTGATCCCACAGCGCCAAGGCGGACAAGAATCGCATCAATCTCAATATTGTGCTGGCGCAGACGATACGCGCCACCAACGAGCAGGAGCCCAGCCACAGCGACATTGACAGCGCCACGGAGTGCAGCGAGCTGGCCAAGGAGCAGAGCACAGCATCCAAGCCGACCCCTACTGAGGCGAACGTCTCGTCCGCTTTGACCGTTCAGCGGCGTCCGCCCTTGGTGCGCGCCATGTCCGCGCCGGTGCGCATGGATGAGAGCAGCAAGAGCGCCCTTGCCGCCGCCAGCAAGCGCAGCCAGCAGAAGCTGCGTAGGCGCAAGATCTTCACGCGCGCCACCTCCTCGGTGGCGGTGCCGCCCGATAACAGCCCCATGCTGAGCACCGATGCCAGCGGCTCCGGCAAGAAGGCCCTCAGTCGCACACGCAGTGTCATTGCGCAGGATGTTATTACCCTGGTGTCGCTTCTCAGCTCCGAGGGCAGTGACTCGGAGCGTGAGGAGAACTCCTCCGCCTCCAGCGAGAAACAGCCGCCGGCGGCATTGCAGCGCAGTCCGCAGCGACGGGCGCCTCTGCTGCGCAAAACGGGCAAATCGGGTAAGTGCTGAGCATGCTGCCCTGAGGGCAACTCCTTGTTCTTGAGGGCTGGCATCTTAGGTGGGAGATCAGATCCTTGATGCTAGAAAGACAAAGAGACAGAGAGAGAAAGTTAGGAACGTTGTTTAACCAGGATCAGTCAGATGGACTAACTCTTTTTGCAGTCTCGTTTCAAGACAGCTATCCGCCCACCTTTCAACTGGCCTCCAAGGAGTACTCGCACATGATCAGGCGCGGATCGATTGCCCCGCTGGCTGCGCGCATTCGCGCCAATCGACCCCCGACGGCGCCGCCCGTCTCCATTTTCCTCAGCGAGCCTGGCAGCAAGTCGGGTATTCAGATGGAGTCGCGTCAGCGACAGCAGCAGCAACAGCTCTCTGACTCATCCAGCTCACCTTCGGAGGAGGACAAGAAGGAGAACAACGCAGCCAACTGCAACGTGCAGCAGCAGCAGCAGCAGCAGGAATACAATTTCCCGCTGTACGTGTGCAGCATCAAGGAACGCGAGTGCTGGAAGCTGCATCAGAAGATGTGCGCCAAGGGTGTAAGTGTTAGCTATGACACCGTGCTGCGGGGCATGTTGACGCCCACGGAATTCCGTCAGTTCCAAAAGCAGCGCGAGCACGAGGAGGCCAAGGCCCAGGAGGCCGCCGATGCACAGGCCGAGGCTGAGGCTGCCGTCGCCGGCGAGAAGGAGACCAAGAAGTCGCCAACAACGGCCATCGAACGCCTCTCCGAGTCCCTGCTGCAGAGAGAGTGAGCACGGCAGACTGGACACGGCCGAGGACCAAGTTATGCATTTGCCCTAATAAAACCCATTCAAGCCCCTTTCACGGGCAGATCTTCATACGTAGAAGTAGAGCGCACTCGTTAAACAGCTACGCACCCAGCTGAGTCACAATCCGAGGATGCATCCTCGTAGTTGTAGTTGAACTAGAGTCGGCAATTCATGCTTGAAGACGCTGTGCAGGCCAATCGCCACTGAAATTAGCTGAGAACAATAAATTGTAGACACCAAACACAATTACTTGGAGCAATTTAATTGTTTTATTCGATTGAAACTCGTTTGCATATAAGTCAAAAGATTAATTCATTAAAAACTTGGGGCTCAAGCTGATTACTCAAAGGTAAGCTGGAAAATAATATGGAAATCAAATGAAATGAAATTTAATCAAGGTCAATTAACTTTTTAGCTTTTCAACTTTTGTGATTTGTTGCGTTTTGAAGTAGAAGAGGAAGGCTCATTGGATTCCAAGATGATTTGCTTCCTATTCGCAGTTCCCGAGAAATATAGAAAAACATCTGGAATAGTTGGTAGTATGTAGAACCAAGTTCTATTTATAGCTAAAGTTGTTGCCAGAGCGAGCCTCGTTTATCTCGATGAGAGGGTGGAAAAGTTCTCCAGAGCGGTATATAACTTGTCGTAATGCATAAATTGACTAGGGAATAAAATGGGCTCATGCATGTATATTTAACGGACTGACATGAGATCCATATTGAGTTTGAGATTAACTAGATGCTTGGTGGGAGGTGTGCTTAGTTCGCTTGGCGTGCGTATCGTATGGCGGAGGCCAGATAGCAGGCGAGCACTATGCCCAGGATTTGTATGAAGGCGATGCCGATGCCGACGCCAATCAGAATGACGGCGTTCTTATCGATGCGCTCCTTGAGCTTGCCGACGCAGCCCTCCTGGAAATACTTGTCCTTGCCAAGGGCCGGCGATTCCGTGCAGTGTCCGACGGCGGCATCGATGAACTGCGGCTGGCAGCAGCTGGCCGGCAGGGTCTTGTTCAGGCTGAGGGCACGCCAGTCGGCGGGCGTGTCCACGCCGCAGCACATCAGCTTGCGCTGGACATTGTCCCAGGCGATGCTGTCCTCGCTGTTGGAGCGCTTGATCGACTCCTGCAATGAGTTCTTCAGCATGCTCTCCAGATCCTTCTTAAACACGCTCGCCGCAATGCCCACGGCCAGCTCCACGATAAAGATGATGGCCAGCAGCACGGCGTACTGTTCACAGGTGAGTAACAGGTAAGTTTTGTATGGCTAAACGTGTGTATGTGTGTGTGTGTACGCACCGTTAGGAGCAGAGTGGGCGACTCCTTGATGGCGCCAAAGCAACCCAATGAGGCAATGAGAAAGATCACCAGCCCGGTGACAATTAGCACAATCGGCGGCGCCAGGACGCGTCCCTCCACAAAATGGTTAAATTCATTGACATCGGCCAGGACGATGGCACCGGCCACCAGTATGCCAAGACCGGAAAGCTGCAACACGCATCAAACACATAATTAAACAGAAACTGGTCATCGATTTTCTTCAAGCAGCGGCCATTATATGGCCCATAACTAATCCATGGCACAATTTGTTTAATGACCCACCCAATCAAAACCTACGCATTTACCCGTATGACTTGGCTTTCGTGTTTTTGTTTGTGTTTGCATTACTAACTCTAATTGCCTGATAAGGCATCAACTGCCGCTGCCACAACCTTAGCCAAGTCAATGGCAATTCCATGCCGTCATTTCTGTACTTGTTGTTGTTGTTTTTGTTTTTGTTGTCGCTGCTGGTCAAATCAAAGGCCGCAGCCTTGTGGCATTGAAAATTGTGCTGCCTACTTTTGTGCGCGCCTAACAAATGCAAATTGTCCACTATCCATTATCCACTATATCTTATCTGATATCCATTATTCACAATATATTATATACGATCTATTATCCACTTTATATTATCTGTTATACATTATCCACAATATTTATTATCCACTACCAATTATCCCCTATATATTATCTGTTATACATTATCCACAATTTTATTATCCACTACCATTTATTTATTATCCACCCCTATATATTATCTGCTATACATTATCCACAGTATTTATTATCCACTATCCATTATATTATTTGGTATACATTATCTACAATATTTATTATCCACTATCCATTATCCCCTATATATTATCTACTGTCCATTATCCACAAAATATTATCCACTATCCATTATCCACAATCCCCTATCCTTTATTCATTATGCACTATACAATAATCCATTATCCGCTGCTTATTATCAATTATCCATTGCTGCTGCCATATACTTAATTATATTTATTTTTATTTTAAAAGAGCAACTATTTACATTACACGTGATATTTTCCTGCCAAATAATTTCATCATATTTTTAAAAAGCAACTAACTACATGCAGTTTATTTAAATTACACCTGGGTTACTTTATTTTGAAGCACGCCATTTCATCTAATGACAAGTAAAACTGTCATTTTTTATCGGTCATCGTGTGGATAAGTAAGTGCATATGTTTGACCTTAACCAAAACTATTAAAAATAACGAAGAGCGGCAATATTCGGCAAACCGAAGGTTAAATACTCTTTCTAAAGCAGCCCATTTGATAGGGACTTGCAGATGTGGTATGAGAATTGTCATTGAGTAGTAATATATCTGTTTATTACTCAATAAGAAAATTGTGAAGCTCGTTGTCTCTGAGTCAGGTCAAGAGATATATAAAATGTTCAATATTAGAGTTCAACTTGACATATTCTCCCTATAGATACAACATATGTATGCTTGGAGCACGGTATAAAATATGAATTGCTGAGTTTTGTCAAGTAATATTGGAAATTTAAAAGTTCTTCTTATATCAACTTAATGTTCGGCCTGTAAACGAAAATCTAAGCAGTTGAATGACATGCACGCGTACACAAGAAATACTATGCATATACAAATCGGGGTCAGAGAGGACTATGTCCCTCGGCAGAATAAAAAACATCCTCTTTAAGGGCATACAAATTGACTAACTGGGGTAATCTTCTAAGTATTATTGCTTATGGTCGAATTAACTGGGTTACTGGGCTTACTGAAGTTAACTCTTGCTTCGGGAACGAGCAGGCCTACTTGGCATAGGGCTAGTCTAGTCTAGTCTGAGTGTCGAACTAGCAAACGAAAGGTCGCTGGTTCAAACATAGCGGAATTAACAATTCTTTTCTAATGGTTTACTTTTTTGGTTAATAATCACAAGGACAAGTGCAATAATAATAATTGGCAGCTGAGCTGCTTTTTTAAGGTTTTTCTCCTATTATTCAATATTTGATTTAAATCTTAGCTTCGACCTGATATTTCACTAATATATGTAACTATAGAAATAATTAAAAAATGACGACATTTTCCTTAATCAAACTTTGATATAATTTGCTTTTATTAAGCAACAAATGAAATTTATTTTGCAAGGTCTGCTCGTTTTACTTGAATATTGTTTATAAGAAAATCAACTTTATTTGAAAGTGTGGAAATAATGAAATCAAAAATTTGAAAGAAGTTTTGAAGAAGTTAAAACTATTTAAAATATTCTTTATTCAAAGATCTTTTTTCCAAAGATCGTTGAACTTTTCACTTACCGCAAATAGCACATTGAAGGCAAACAGAACGTATTTGATCAAACTGGGGCCGCAGGCGCGCATTTTGATTCTCATCTAATAGTCGAAGGTGTCCGTGTGCGATAAAAATAACCTGCCTAAGGTGTTTCTGTAGTGGGTATTCCAAAATTAGAGCAACTTTGTGATGATGAGCAAAGCTGATAAGTATGCTGGGATTTGGTTGTTCTGGGAGCGCGCGCGTCTTTTCGAAATGGCGTTGCGATTGGAACTGACCGGTGGCTGTTGGCCAAGCTAATGAGGTTGGCAACCAAGTCGGTGGCTTGTGTTGTGGCCACGGCGCGGCTGACAACCAACGGGAAACACTGCGGACCCAGACCCAAGCCGCCTCTGGTCATTACAATGGCCAGAAGCTAAAGTAAAAGTGAGTGAAAGTCTTTTCGAGGAAACCATAGCCCGTTCATCGTGCCTATTCAGGCCATGCGATTAGGGCCTGGTTGTTGGAATCGGGGGGAGGGAGCCGGGTCTTATAACCCATTTTGTTGATTTACATGTAGCTCCTACGAAGGCACCAACAACTTTGACCAGCGGCTGTGCAAAGTTCCCAGACGCTAGCCCAGGCTTTCTGGGTCGTCTAGGGCTTCCGCAGGGTGGCGTAAGGGGGAGGGCACCAAGTCATTGCACTCATTAGGCGCACTCGACAAACGTAAGGTGCACAGAAAGCGCGAATACAATAGCACAATACATGCACAGGTGCGACATTCAAGAATTTACCTGTAAGGTATGACACCGCAGACTTTATGCGAGGGTTGCCTATAACCTTATCCCCATCTTCTAGACTGTATTACCAAGTCGAAGTCCCTTTTATTTAGTTGATTGGCATGAAATTATAACTACAAATATATGTGGATAGAGGATCTTGATCTTGTCGATCAGGGAATATCTGGGAATACCTTAAACCATCTATTAATAGTAGTTTAATCAGATTGGAAAGACTTATCTTCTTTTAAGAAAGATAGTAAACCTCCATACTACAGTTAAAAAATAAATGATTACCTAAGCGCAGTATATCAGGCAATATAAACGGGTTTATTACTGGGTAAACGACCCGCGGAGTGGGAGACCAGGCCGACGTCATAATACTAAATAAATTGCGTGATTTCATGTGAATAACGGCGAAAGTTATAAATGCTATTCATGAAATAAATACCAGACTGTGCGAATAATTAAAGTACGCTGGAATTCAAGAGTTGGCACCTAGAAGCATGCCAAGCTCTGTCCTCATCCGTGCGGGCCGCGGTTGGGGGGGGGGATGTCACAAGGCTTGGGTTGATTTTAATGTTGCGTGTTGGCCTCTTTGTGCTTTGTCCAGGACACAAATGTCCGACGGTGCTTGGCAATTTTCTGGGGACCTGCTGGCTCCTTCTTATCGGGTCGCAGAAATCTCGGCTGTGCTGTGGAATTTGGCAACGTTTATGGGTCATGAGAGTGCCCAAAATGAAGTTAGTTTTCTTTTTTATATATGGCATAACAATTTCGATTTTATTTCCAATGAACTTCTCAGGCGATATACAAGCAGTTTAGTAGGTCCTTGGACTGTGTGCTCTTAATGCAATGGGGAGTATTTGAAAAACATTTAAGTACTGTATGGAATACGATATGAGTGTGGATTAGTTATCATTATATATAGTATTGCTTCGTCACATGCCGCCCCTTCACAGTCCGCGCGCAATGAGCAGACCGACTACGAATGCCACAATGGACAAGGATTGAGCCAGTGTTCCGGCACCGTTGTCGCGGCAGGGCCATTCATCCACATCCGACCTATAAGTAGAGTTATGTGGTTAGGACACGAGTGTATCGGCCAACGGAGAGGGGGGCGGGGCTGGACAGAACACAAACACAATTCACAGATAGTACGGATATGCGTATGGATAGGGATGTCGCAGAAGTGGATATACAACATGATCGTGAGGCTGATCGTGCGGCACGTAAAATGTGGGCTGATTTGCTCGATGACGAGTTCTGTGCAATGCGGATGCTTGAAGTAATTGTTGTTGTTCAGGTTGTTGGTGTTGTTGTTGTTGTTGTTGTGCTGTCGGCTGTTCGTAGTATGAGGCAAGCGTGCTGCAAAAACAAAAGCAGGCCCAGCAGAAAGTGGAGTAGATTGAGGCACATGAAGTTGAGAGTGTGTGGAAATGGTGAATGTGAATGTGGCTAATGGATGAACTAGATGAACTGTTAGCTAGCTTCGATCACAGGTTAAGCAAACACAATTAGTCGAATTGGATGGCTTTTCATTAGCATGAAACATTCTACAGCCTAATCAAGTTAGTATCAATATAAGTACATAACATACATAGCGCAGAGCCACCCTTCAAGCCAAAACTCAGCAATAGACGTTTATTTAGGCCTACAATAATATTAATGACAGGCACACACACACACACATGCACAGATACAGCTACTGAGAGGGAGTAAGCCGGAAATAGCCAGTCATTCAATATGTTTAATGTATGTATAACAAATGTGGCGAATGATGAGAGAGCGTGTGTATAACAGTTTTAGTTAATTTTACAGTTAGCATTACAGAGAGTACAGTGGTAAGAACACAATAGTTTATTAGCTGACACAAATTAGAGAAGTTATTTTTTATATAGAGACATCAATTGAGTTCATTTACGAATTGCTCGGATATTTACTTAATGCCAATAACACCGCAGGCTGCAAAGAAAAAGGGTATTTATAAGTATTTCGACTTGGTCGAGTAGTATATTTAAGTACGCACCAATACGGCCGCCCGCATTGCCCGTCTTCTTGGAGTCCGTGTGGTTGCCCAGGCCCAGATCGTCCTCCAGCTCGTGCAGAACCACACTGCGTCCAATAATGGTACGCTGTCCGTTTAGGCTGATAACCGAGTCCGTGTAGGTGATGTCGATGGTCCGGCTGGCGTTCACCTCAATGTTGCCCAGATCGCCGACGTGACGCACCTCGTGATGCGGTGCGCCATGGTCCACCTTGTCGGGATTGTAGTGTCCGCCCAGGCTGGTGCATCCGTTGCTCAGATCTCCCTTCTCGTGAATGTGGAAGCCATGCTTGCCCTCCATCACGTTCTCCAGCTGAATGCGCACATGCACGCTCTGGCCGCAGTCGTTCTGGATGAAGGTCACGTTGCCCTTCACCTGCGTGTTGTCCGACTGCAAGGGCCCGGTCAAATAGGCAATCGCCTCCATGGGCGTGTTGCGCTAAACATGATTGGTACAAATATCAAAATTAACTCCATGTATTGTTAATTTATTTGCTTGCACTTACCGTCTGTGCACCGGCACTCAGTGTGGCGCAGAGGGCCAAGGTGATGGTCAGAAGCTGGTACATTTTGGGCTGCAAGATAAGATTGGCATTAGAAGAAACCCTGGGATGAGACTGTTGTTGGAAAACACACAAAACATTCGCATATCTCGTTTGCAGTTACGTCAGATAACCCAGGTCTGACAGCGCTGCTTTGATCTATGCTTGACCGTGCCGCCCCCCCTGCCACATGCCACCTTTACCTGCCGCTAGATTTTATTCAATTGAGAGACGAGCGCACTCTGATTACTGGCATACACACGAGCATACACAAAGTCATCCGGCTTTTTGGAAATACTTAATTCAGAGATGAGCTCTATATATATCAGATCACTGCAGGGAACGCGATCACTGTTATAAATACATATCATATTATATAAATGTCTATACTGGACTCAGTCTAAGGCTTCAGGAAACAGGCAAGACCCAGACCTAGTTCTGGTTGCCAAACGACAATTGGCTTATCCTTGAATGTATATAATATAATATCATATATAATAATTTGAATGTATTTGGTTAAATTAGATTTTCCCTGAGCGGGTGTTATATTTCCTATTATGTGATATTGTAAACTTAGAAAAAATCTAAACTAATTTATTTGTTATTTGAAAATTATGTTTTTACAATATGAATATGGACGTGATGGGTACAAATATATATTATTTATTTATTTATTGAGGAATGTTAAGAATTGAGTAAAAACGTGACTATTTGAGAATTCCTTGATCTAACTTGACAGATATGCATGGGAAATACCTTTAGCTTATTATGGGTCTTGTATTCATAGGAATGTATATGGAGCAACTATAAATTTATATATTTTTTTTTGGGAATTATAAGTACTGTTAGTTATTTAAGAGCGCACATCTCTATGAAAGCGCCATCAGCTGTTTGTGAGCTCGGAAATGTTGCATTGCCGTGTGTGCGGAATTGAAGCGCCTAACCTCTATTTACGATACGATTTCTGGGTCATGCACTATATATATAAATGTGTATTATATGTATATATATGTTTATTCTATGTACAAGCAAATGAATATAGCCTTTTTCACAGGGTTAAGTGCGGATGGCCAACAAGTTGCCGTTGCCGTTGCCGTTGCCGTCGAAGGCCAATCAACAATCTCTTTTTGTACGCACTTCTCGATTAATTTATGACTGCGCATTACTTAATGAAATGTCTGAGATGTGTTTAGTTTATGGCTTGACACACTAATAAACAAATAAATATTTGATAACTCTCTTTTATCTGTAGCTTATCACGGACCGCTCGGCAGCATATACGCAGCCAATACTTGCCACTTCAACTGGGTTGCACGTTCAGTATTTCATTTGCCCGGACTTCAATCTCGTTGTTGGCACGCAATATTCTGAATATTCTCACGGATAAGATAAGTTGTTTTTTAGTCTAGGTGTACCTGAGCACTGAGTGCGTTGTTCACAGCACCTAATTTCGGAATGCTATTCACTTAAATTGTCGGCCAATTGTCGTGTGCATCAAATAGGTATTATTAGGGTGGCTGGCCCTTACAAAAATGTCAACAATGATTAATGATAAATTAATGAGCTTAAATGCTTGCTGCTCACTCTCCGTTTGGTTGCGATTAGCCAGTAACTACTGTAGCTCTAATCAAGCGGTTGTCAACGATTTGCAAGTCACCTGCGGCAGCCCCTAATCAGCATGAAGTACTTCAAACTCATTTGACTCTCTTTAAAACTACTTACGCACTATGATATATGTTTATACGTATTTATTGAATTCGATTCAATTGAATAGTAAGTTTCTAATAACCTCGCTAACAGCTGTACTATAACAGCACGACACAACACTCGCTAAAATTCGCAACGAGTTTAAGCTTCGAGCAAGTGAAAAGGCGTTGATACGAAAGTCTGCATAAAGTGATCAGGGGTATGCTTGAAATATCTCTAAACACAATTATCGCACATTTTGTAGCTTATATCTTTCTGTTGGATATTGTAGACTGAATTAGACTAATAAAAAAAAGCTTAGTAGAGGTCACTAAACCAATTGTCACATTACACATTTTTATATTATATGAGAGAATTAACACCTTTCGAATTTAGATTTGTCCCTTAAACTTTTCTCTTCTATAATGCTTAATCGAACGGATAACTTTGATCAGGCAAAATTGGTATATCTATAGCTACCGCTAAATGCCGCTATCCCAACATGCTAAATAGTGATGCACAATTAGCGTATACTATGCATGTTTATAGGCAACTGAAGTGACCCTGAATTTCAGATGCTTGTTCACATAGGAAATCTCAGTTCCCAGCTCTTTCCGACTTGTTGTTATTTAGACAATACAATTGATATGCTGTATTTCCCAATCCCAATTAGCACACAGTTAAATGTTTATATTTTAACTAACTAACTAACTGCAAGACTGATATGTCAATTGCCGGACAGATAAGATCGGCAGAGCATTCGTTTGTATTGTAAACAATATATGTTTCGCATATACGGTATTTTCTCGAATTCGGATGCAAGAGAACCGTTAAAGCAAAGCAGAGACAGATCGACTGCGGCTGTGCTTGACTCGTGCTTGTTCTTTATGCTTCTGCTTTCGGGGCTCACAAATACATGCATACATATGTATCCATATAACAGGTTACAGTAACCCACACAAGGGCGGACCAATGAACGCAAAAATTGAGGCATTCTCTGTACTGTTTAAACTGCGTATGCAGCTCTGCGAAAACTGGTTTTGATTATTTTATTGTTTCAGTGAACAATTATAAGGCGAATTTTTGAGCATGTTCTTTTCGTTAAATTCTTTTGCGCATTAATCCCCAGGTGCAGTTAATGAAAGTTATTTTATGGAAATTTATTTACTTTTAATTGTGTTTGTGCACTTACCTAGTTAGCAGCTGTTGCTTGTTTTCTTTGTATTTATTAGTTAATTGTAAACTGATTCACAGCTATACTAAATTTACCGCTTTAATTGAAGTGCAGTGTTGCGTTTGCTTGAAGACCTGCGAAGCAACTGATTTTAGCTTTGGCATTGCCAGCGCAAGTCGGCTGCGTACCTGAGCTTTAATGCGAGATTGCGACGCCGACGCCAACGCCGACGTCGACGCCGACGTCGTGGGTGGCAAGACACGAACAACGATCGTGCGCTATCGTTATCTTCGTCCGGCCATGCTTGCGTTTACTCTCTCGCTCTGTCTCTTGCGGCTAGCCACGTGCTCGCTCGCTTACACAGCTTACAGTTAAGGGCTCTCTTAGCTTATCTGTTTTCTCGACTTCTCTTCGGGCTATCAGATCTTGAATGTGCATTGTCATATTTAAGAGGTGCTGTAATTCTTAAATTAATATTTATGAAAATATTCAGAAATTATACAAATGCTGTAAAACACAACTACGTGAGTTCCGTTCAAATACTTATCATTTGGCCATGTGTTATGAATGAGGCGAAATGATCGTGCTCTCAGGTCCGATCTATTAAATTCCTTTTGCAATGGGAACATACATAGCTTAGACTTATGAAAAACATATTTTAACGCATAATTTGGATAAGACTTCATTGGATTCGCAGATATCAAAGGGTATAATATATCCTGATATATATGCATATTCCTGATCAAGGCGACGAGTTGAGACGATTGAGCCAGGTTCGTGCGTCTGTCTGTCGAACACGCCGATCTCGGAAGCTGCAAGAACTACTTAGATATTTGTATTTATAAAATATATTTGACCCAACCATTCACAAAATGAGTTCATAATTGCTTGCCCATATACCCAAAATATCGATAATCGACTTTCAGACTTGGTTATTTAAGCATAATCTAGAACTTTTAGAGGTAGAGACACCAATTTTGTGCTGTTCTCATATAATATAAGCCGATTTTCCCCCTTCCCCTATTCCACCAAAGTTTTTGGTTTGTATTTTTAGACACTTGTCATTTGGTATAAACACGCACACATATTTGAATGTCCTTTAAATTTCATGAAGATCGGGCAACAAACATAGAAGTTGTTCAACACTATATCTCCAATGCATGTATAAGGAATTAATATTGGGATATTTTATGATTTGATACCAAAACATTGTATTTAGTGGGGAATACTTTGTAGTCGAGCACACTCGACTTCTGACTTCCTGTCATATTCATTTATATACTTAAAGAAATGTACTTCTATTTATATATTTCCATTTTAACAAAACCTTATTATATCCCCTTGTAGAGGTTACTATAATGCTGTCGACATTTCTGATCCGCATCATCTAGTTTTTCAGATTCAAAGTTGAATATTTGCAGATGTCCGCCTGCAAAAGTCGGAAACGGCCGGATCGTGCCACTTATGATATTGCATAGGAACGATCGATCCAAAAGTTAGATTCTTCTATACAACACTTTTTTTTTAAGATATCTTATTAATAGTTGGCTTAACTATGCTGCTTATATCTTCAAATCAAATCTTTTCAAGATCACACTGCTATATTATATAGAAATATCAGTTTTTGTATGGCTAAATATTCAGTTTTCCAAACTTTTTTCTAACATATCTGTAAGGTTAATGTCTGCAAGGGTATTTAATCATCGGCGCGATGAAAATATCCGTACTTTCGGGTTCATTTTTAAAAAGTCTTAAATTTTGTACACATACATGTAAAATGACCTAATTTTCTATGTAAGACAGATTTACGAACACGTCACATAATCTTTTGCAAAGTCACCTTTGAAATTGTGAATATTTGATAATAATATGTTATCAAAATAGTTTATCTTTTAGCAATTTTTATTTTGAATAGTAAATAATCCGTAAATAAATAATAATATCTATCGGGTTGAAAATTGTGCTAATCGAGTTCGCAAACAATCTTCCGATTCATCCAAGTTGACGATAATAAAGCAAACGCGAAATGGAAGCCAAGCCCTAATAATGATATCTGGTAGGTACATAGTTATATTTATTTTAATAGCTACAGGTATATGTGGAATTCTACGTATTCGACAAATTTCGTAATTTTAATTAGGGTTTAGTTTTGCACATGTCCGCCTGCTGGGAATTCCGCTGCGAAGCAGCTGTTTCTCCAGTTTGTAACCTAAATCCAGATGGGATTCCAATTAAGCTCCGAGCCTCAGATGAGTTTGTGCCGGCCCAGCGAGGCTGTGTGCATGGGACTGCAGTTCTCGATGAGCTCCGCACCCGGTGCCGATCCGTGGCCCTGTCCCTCGTCGCTGGGCGAGGAGCCGCCGCTGGCGCTGCTGTTGTGGTGGACCCGTTTCATGGGCCGCTTGCGGTCGTGCTCGGAACAGGGATTCAGCTCCACCGTTTGCAGGCTCTGGGCGCGTTGCAGTGACAGGCGCAACGGCTTCTTTGGGGGCGTGGGTCGCACGGTGCGGGATCCCGTCGTCGGCTTCGATTCGTTCTCGCTGTCAAAGTCGAGGGACTTCACGCTGCGCATGTCGCTGGGCAGACGCGAGCGCATGGTCTGGGCCTCGCTCTGCCGCGGCGTGTCGCGTCGGCGTTCCAGGCTATCACCGGGAAGAATGATGTTTGCGTTAGTTAGTGAAGGAACATAGTTAACCAGATGGTCTTACCCGTTGCACTGATTGAGGTGCTCCACGCTGCGTGCATGCGCGCTCATCAGATGCTCCCTGTGCAGCTGCTGCTGCTGCTGCAGTGCATCCCGTGGGCGTTCTCTGTCCCTGTCTCTTTCCCGGTGGCGCTCGTGTCGCTCGCGCTGGCGCTCCTTTTCCCGTTTCTGCTGCTGCATGTAGGCAGAGTCGCTGTTGATGGATATCTTGGAGGCAGACAGCGACTTGGACGGCATGGAATAGAGATGGGGATGGGGCAGGCGTTCGCGCAGATCAATGTGCGTGTTCTCCTTGATCAGCGTCTTGGTGACATGCGCCGGCGGCAGCTCGTCGCCCACCAGCTCAATGGGCTTGCCCCCAACAAGCGTGGTGATGTAGTTGCCGCGCTGGAAGATCAGCGGCTTGTCCGGCGGAGTGGAGGGCGACGGTGGCGAGGATATGCTTATGCTGGTCACATGTGCATTGTTGGACTGTGTTGTCGCTGCTGGCAATTGTTGCTTCTGTTGCTGCTGCTGCTGCTGTGATTGGAGCTTCTGCTGCTCCTTAACTGTCTGCAGTTCGCGCACCTGCTCCTCCAGGTAGGAGATGCGATGCTGCAGACGCATGTTGTTCTCCTTCTCCTGGTCGAGCTGTTTTTGGGGTATCGGCACGGACTTCTTGCGCAGCACGACCATCTGGCACTTGCCGGAGTTGCCCACATGCTTCTGCAGCTCCTCTTTGGTCTTGCTGGTCACCAGCCGCCCATTGATCTCCAGTATGCGATCCCCCTTGTACAGCCCGTCTCCCTCCAGGGCCCACTCCACAAAGAAGCCCGGCTGGTCGGGCCTCTGCTGAGCCGCCCAACGTCCGGAGGTGGCGTGCACGGCATGCAGGCTCAGTGTGACGCCCGAGCTGATAATGTTGTAGAGCGTTTGCGCCTCGGGCTTTGATTTCTCCAGGCGTGCTTGCAAGGCACGCGCCTCCTCCACAATCGAGAGCATCTGCAGCTCTTCGCGACCCAGCGCATACTCCAGTTCCGCCTGGCGAATGCGTATGTCGATGTTGCTACGGAAAGAGGAAGACCGTAATGAGCAGGATGTAGATGGTGGAATAACACTGTGGAGGCACTTACTCTGTGATGTCCAGCTTCTCCAGGGCGCTCTTCAGGTTCTTGATCTTGATGCGCTTGTTCTCCGCCTCGGCCTTGAGGCGGTTCAGCTTATGCTCTGCCGCCGGCTTCTCCGACTCGTCCAATGGCGGTCCACTGGGCCGTGGCAGCTTGCCCAGACACAGCTGGATGCGCAGGTTCTGTATGACGGCCTCGCGATCCTGCAAGGCGGACCGCAACTCCTTCGACTCGCTGCGTGTGGAGCGCGAGGAGAGCGTTCCGCCCAGAGAGCCGCCCTTGCGCCGCCGTCCCGTTGTCGAGCAATGCGAGGCGGCGCTGCTCAGCTGCAGCTGCGACTCGTGGTTGCTGTCCGCCGCCGCCGTCGAGTGCAGACTGTACTTGGCCGAGCTGGCGCAGCTCTTGGGATTGAGTATAGTCTGCAAGTAGATCAGTTATATTTGTTAATTAAAAAATCCGTTAAAACGATGTTTATATTAACAATGTTAACTAAAGTTTAAAATGATTAACAAAGGATAAATAAACTATATGCACATTTAACTAGAATTTGCCGAGGCATAAGGGAGGACGCGAGGGTCGTAAACCTGAGCCCTAGGGAGAGCTGCAAAAAGTCTGTTTATGTTCCTTTTTATTTAAAACATTTGTGTTCATTTGAGGAACATAAAAATGTATGTAGTTATTATAATTAATATCGATTAAATTAAATATGCATGCTAAATGTGACACTCAAAGAGACACACCCAAAAAAATGTCACTCTAACTTTTAAGTTTTCACGAGTCGGGCATTTGTAGTTGTTATTATAAATATTTGATAAGGGCCTCTCGTGATAACGATTTAATGTTAGATGGGGGAGTGCGACCTAAAACGTAGTACTCAAAATCAATAATCTATTCCTAACAGTTTCAGGCTAATCAAAAACAGGTGAATGCACATTAATTATAAAAGACTGACGACATTTAAATGGAAAGTAAAATTCATTTCATATAGACAGCACGCAATTTAAAGTAGAACTTAAATAATTGCACAATAATTGTCATCTCTAAGTGTAAAGTAAATAATTCAGGTGAATCATAAAGTGTATTTGTTTTGAATGAGCTCTAACTTAAAGTTCATATAACACTGGGATGCCTATAAATAAATAATGCCGGTATTACCTAGTCCATTTTCAAATATTTATTTATATGTACTTTATATATACTGTATATAATATATATTTATGCATACAAATATGTTTTTCAGAGGTACTCGTTTAAGTTTCATGTACATTGTAATACAGGTATTTATTATGCGAATACGAAAAATATATTTAAAATGTTTATGTATATATAAGTATGTGGGGATATTGCAGTCAAAGTATAAGACGTAATCCGAGGTGTGTTTTGAGCCATTTCCCCTTGAAGGGTCGGTCTATATAACCATATGTATATCTAAAGTCCCTTGCAGTTCCTACTCCTTGGGTATGTCGTATACGCCGCACTCCCGATTCGCTGGCAGCGAAGCATCTGCAAGGAACCCGAATGAGTTTTCAGTGGAAGCCAATCAATTCTTTATGCATACCGATTTTCTTGGGATAGGGCAAATTTAGATTTTCCATGATCTTGATGAACTCATCGATACTCTTGGTCAGTCGCGGGTTGTAGCGCTTCTCCTCCCACACGCTGCTCTCGAGCTGACCTCTGCAGAGGCAGAAGCAGAGCATTAACCGGCTGGCAAATGCACACGGCAATGTCTAACTTACTTGTAATCGTGCGCCGGATAGATGCGATAGTTGTCCGGCAAGCTAAAGATCTTGGCGTGCACATTCTCATAGAGGCTCTTCGAGCTGCCCTCCTGGAAATCGGTGCGTCCGCAGCCGCGAATCAGCAGCGTGTCGCCCGTAAAGACGCAGCCCTGCTCGTTGATCACGTAGCTCATGCAGCCGTTGGTGTGCCCAGGTGTGGCCAGCGTATCTATCGCGTGGCGTCCGAACTCGATGCGATCGCCCTCCTCGATGTGGCGATCCGCCTTGGCGCCGCTCGCCGCTGCGATCACCGACTGGCAGCCCGTCAGCTGCCGCAGCCAGCCGCTGCCCGTTATGTGGTCCGCGTGCATGTGCGTGTTAACTGAAGAGATCGAACGGGTTTTGTGGTCAGCCGCTCTCGGTACATGCGTCCCCTCCCCCCGCTCACTTACTGGCGTATTTCAGCTTGAAGCCAAGGTCTTTTACGAGCTGCGCGTCGCGCTTGGCCTGCTCCAGCACGGGATCTATGATGACGGCCTCCCTGGTGCCCACATCCGCCAGCAGATAGCTGTAGGTGCTGCTCTCCGCATCGAACAACTGTTGGAAAAACTTTGTGTCAGCCACTGCAACGCAATTATTTCACATAACGCCATCACGCACCTGCCGAAAGAAGAAATCCGGCGTGAAGGGCTTACGCTCCGGCAGACTCATTGCGGCTGATTGGCTGTGCAGCAATCGTGGTGAAACAGGTGCGCAGAAGCTTTTGACGTGCCCGTAAACAGGGGTCGGTACAGGAGCTGCACTTACGCGAATCAGAGAAGGTAGCCGAGCGAAAGCTGAAAACAGACTGACGCCTGCGATTCTCATTTTATTGGAGCTTGGTTGACGAGTGTGCGATAGAGCGCGAGGGGCTGGGGTGGGGTGGGGTCTACAGCCGATTAAAATTAACTACCGTTGTGTATATGTGTGTGTGTGCGCGCGTGCGAGGGTCTAAACTGACGCTTAGAGCTTTTGCTGTTGTTGTTGTGCCGGTCGCGCTGTTATTGCGAAAATCTTCGTGTGTTTACTTCTGTTATGTGTGTAGATAAGCACATGTGTGTATTGAACAGTATAAATATATTAGCGAAATGTTTGTAAACGTTGCTATGTGGATTTATGGCTGATTCCATTTAACGAATCGCTAATTAAGCAATGTGTGTATGTACATATTAGCATACATATGAATGTGTTTTGCCTTTAACATTCTATGTTATCTGTTGCATTCACAGCATAGCTGTTACGATTACAGCAGATTCTACAATGTTAAACACTTTCAGCGCACAACACACAAGTATTCGTTTACAAACATTTCTGTCTAATTGGACGAGTTACAAACAAATTGCACGACAAATAGGAAAGCTGTCGAAACCAACAGCTGTTGGCACGCGTACGCTCTTTCGTCAACTGAAAGCTTTGACAAGTGGCGTCGAGCTTTTATGCGTCAAAGCTCGCTAACCTGTTGCCAATGACGTAATGAAAGCTTTCGGGTGCGAGTACGTGCCAAGCGACAGCAAAACTGAACGACGAAGCTAACGCTGCAATATGAAGCGCCCAACGGCCGTTACATCGGCTCTCGAATGCACTCAAAGAACAACCACCGAATGCACCGAATATGAGGCACCCTCCAATTGAATGCAAACGAAGCAAATGGCTTAACCCTTATCTTGTAAAGTTTTCGGGCTGCACGGAAGTTGTTCGAGCACTTTTTCACTAAATATATGACCGGACCGGACATTGTCCAGTCTGAGCGTGAGAACTTTCTGTTTCGATGATCCTTTTTTTTCTGACTTCGCTAGCTCATAAATACACTTTTCCTCATTACTCAACAGTTGCAACTTTGAACCGCAGCTGAGAAGAAATTTGTGTAATTATGTGGAAGAAATTAATTGACCGTATTTGACAGAAGGATATCCGCGTTACAAAGGGTGTGAATTTCTGCTCGGGGTGTTCATTTGGGAAACGTCATGTCATATACATAGATAACGCTAATTGGCAGCTTCTATTCGATCATCATTTGAGTTTGCATTCAGATTGAAACTCTGAAGTTTGAAAGTTCATTGACACATGCACGTAATTGTATGGTACATATTACCAATAGTTTCTTATGACGAATGGGCCGCCCAGTTAACGGGCCTCATCAGTGCTAAGCATCCAAAAATACTCGTAAATAACTCATACTTTCCATCATTTCGCTTTGAGTGAAAGTGTTTCAATAGAAGTGTTTTACAGTTGTTATTTTTAGTTTTGTGGATGACTGCCCAACCATTTATTTATATATATTTATTTTTTACCAAATTGCAGAGAAACGCATTTCAGTCTCATATGTCTCGGGCGCATGTGGAAAGTCAACAATATGTTGTTTTTTACGTTAACAGTTAGCGGAAATAACTGCGTTATCTATTTGTAATATAAGTCAGCTTTTATGGCTTTATAGACGCCTACAGGTGCATTTGTTTTTATCACTTTAGTCATCAAAATCTGTTTTCATTTGATAACGTAGGTGTAACATAATTGTCTACAAAACAGATTGCAACATTCCGCTGAGGCTATACTTAAGATTAAGGTATTATTTGATTATTTATTTTTAAAATATTTTTATTATTTATCGGAAACAACATGAAATGATTTATACCAAAATCAGTTTTGTGGTGTAGTTTTTACTCTTATTACTGCTTGGCACTGCTCTGCACTGCTTTCTACTGCTTGGCTAAGTGTTCTGTTAATGCAATACCTCAGCAACAGAGAATGCTGGGTAAAGCCGCTTTTCGTGACAACATAACAGCTGCCATGTTAAATATTATGTTGATACTTAGAGAGGACAAAACTTATATGTAGCTAAATCAATTGGCAGTTTCTGTAAGCATTTAACATTTTTCTTAGACGTTATTTACCAAGTTAACAGAGTTTAATTTTTTTGCCGTTTCTTATATTGAAGACTTAGACGAATATTTGAATAATGACTTGCTGAATGAAAAAATTCGCATTTATATTTTATGAAAATTTGTTGGGAAATTTGTTTTGTTTTTTTTTTACGTTTCATCTTCTTCAGCACTAAATGAATAGCTGTGAGGCATGCAGCAACATTTGTCGGAATCGGTCGTCGCCGAGAAAGTGTTGCTTAAAAATGCATTACGATGCATTAACAATTAATAGCTGTAAATTGTTGAAGCTGGCTTTGGATTTTGCAGTTTTCATTTTTGGCCAGACATAATTTTTGATCGCGTTGCATGTTGGCTTCGTACACCTGTATTTTGATTTGTGAATTTCATTTTCGACAACTTTCTAGCGTGAAATTATGTAAAGCAACTGATGCTGATATTTGTATATTGCGCGTGCCTGAAGCTAATTAGCTGCACACTTACATAATCGAACTAGACAATAGGGCGCTACGTGCACCAACCATAATTATATGGGCATATGTTTACACAACTTGAACTGGGCGTGAACTTACCATTGACGCCGATTTCTGCTTGGCAAAGGCGCGATGATGCGCGGAAATGGGCTCGCTAACCACACTTCCGGTGTCCATGTTCCGACGGATCTTTGGGTGTTGTCTGCAAGAGAGAAATACATTTTAGGATCGTTGCTTTGACTATCTTCGTGCCCTCTGAACTTCTCAGCCGCCTGACTTGAAGATTGCCGCAAGTTGACAGCCCCAAAGCCCAAGTGTTGCCACTTCAAAGTCAGTTTAATTTGCGTTCCGCATCGTTGCGCAAAAACAATTGCCAGCCACAGGCAGTTGAGGTTGTCTTCGGTCTTGGGTCTTAGGTCTTGGGTCTGGGGTCTTGGGTCCTCGTATCCCAGTCAGCTATTTTCGGTTCGTCGATCTCAGATTCTTTGGCATGTTACAGTTTTGTAGCGCGTCTCGTTGAGAGTTAGTTTAATTAGCTGTCGTCTATGCTTGCAGCTTTTGTCCGTTCTCAATGAACGTGAATAGGTATTAAAGTGCTTATATCATGACGCTTCTTTTACGAGCAACTAGAAAGAATCTCTTTAATGACATGCAAATGTGCTGAAAGCTGAAAGCCAATGGCGATGTGCCGTTACGACGGCAACAACAACAACAACAAATGCAACTGCAACCGACGGCAACACGCACTTTCTGCGCTGCAGATACATATCGTACTCATGGATGCGCACAGTGTACACAGCAGCACACTCGAGTCTTTGTCTGGCAGCCGCAAGACAAAGATATGCATTCGATATGCAGATTTGCCTAGCGACACATACACACACACACACATACACACGCACGCACAAGATACCCACACACAAAAAGATGCAGATACAGCTATGAACATAGCAAGATGATGTTGCCGCTGGCTGTCTGCATAGATCGCATTACCTAATGCGGCGGCAACTGTTGCCTTTGTGCTTTTCACTTGTTGTTTTTTTGTTTTTCATTTCATTTTTTCCCCTGCCTCTCAAAGCGCACAAGAAACAAAGAGTCGCATTCATGGTTTGTCATAGATGCTGTGACACACAAATGTATCTCAGAAATGTATCTCACAAATGCTGCCTAACTTTTCTGTCCTTGTCTATGGCGAATGATGTTCTTGAAAGTGCAGTGAACTGTCAGCTTCTTAATAATACAATATATATTATATTTAATATCATTATAGTAATAATTAAATGTTAATTTTAGTGATAATAAAGGGTCGATTCTTTGGGGCATTAAATTCAGATAGTCGCAGAGTAAGATTTCCTTCAGCTTAGATCATATTTGAACACAGAAATTATGTTTTTGTACTCATGAAAGGAAGCTTGAATTTTGAGGGGTCAATAACATTGCACTATTCGTGATAAATTAATAAATATTTTCATTAATTTTTAACTTTCCAGTTGAGCTTAACATTTATTAATTTGTTTAATTGGAACTAGTTTTCAACCAAAATTGACAGTTCTTAGTTACCCTGAACTCTGAACCTTGAATCAAAAATATAAAAAAATAAATAAATTTAGCCAAAGTCTGAATTCGTATATATGCAAAGCCAGGTTTCTGCATCGAGCCCTTGTGCATGCTTCAGCATCTAAATACTAAGCCGAGCTACTAATATTAATACCAATTCATAATCGTGCTTGACAATATGTTGATTTCGCACAGATTTTTGCGGAGACCTTCGGTTTGCTTGGCTTCTGCGACGCTTTGTGGCAATGTTGAAGGTGTACGAACACCTGCGGCTTGAGTACTCGCACCTGTGTTTGCTTGTTCTCTGTGTATAACATCACTTTGACATTGTGCTATTTTGAGTGAACTTCCTTGGCTTCATGATGAAACAAGGCAGTCATTAGTCTCCCAGACTAATTACCATGCTGGCATCGTTGCCGCAAATTCAGCTTAGAACTTCATCAGCATGTCGGCTTTGGTTCTTATCTGTGTGTTGGCTTCGGTTTGCGTGTTGGCCAGACAGGTAGACGGACAGATTCAGGAACTACACGATACATTCCATGTTCTAGTCGCAATGGAGTCCATTGTTTTGTTCGAGACTCTAATGTGGGCCCATCATTAATCTAATTTAGCATTAATGCTTAATTATGACTCGGCGATCAGCTCAGAGAGACCCCCAAATTAGAGCGTCCCCGAGCGAGCAGGCCGAGTACAGATCATTCATCAAGAATAGATTATCCCACAACCGAAATGAAACAATTTGTGCAAATTGTGGCTCTGCAAGCCTCCAAGGGCTTCCAAATTGTTGCAGTGTCAGTTGCAGCGTGAGAGACAGACAAGCAGGGCAACAAGATCTTTTGCACTCAACCGTGAAGATCGTTCAACCATGTGCATATAGAAAGAAGTATGGCCATAATATGCTCGCATAATGCCTCAATTTGCGTGTCCAGCCTGCAGGGCTCTGTCCGCAATTCAATAAGAACAAGTGCAACAAGACATGGCCATAAGCCAAGACAAGGCAACTGCGACGGCTGTTGACTGTTTCCCAGGCAAAAACTGGGGGCGTGTGGGCGCTGACGGGGCGTTGAGACCGCTGAAGCGCAACCAAGCCAAGACCGGGACGAAGACCACGACCAAGCCCAAGACCAGAAGAACCACGAGAAATAGCTAGAGCCGTACTTATTTATGCCTCTGCCTGATAATTACCAAACGACGGTCGCCGTCGTCCACCAAACTAACCAACAACAAATTGCGATAGCTATACAAATGTCTACGAGGGTGGATCAAGAAGTTAGGCATAAGCAAAATGCTTACAAAGTTTAGTTGAAATCTTAACCCAGAAACACAATGTGATTTAATTTTAAATTTGTCATACAAAAACTTAATAGTCATGTGACTAAAATTTAATCTTAAGAAGCCCTCAGCTATTTTTAATAGTTCTTTATATATAATTTGAATATTTTTTATAGTAATTTTTGGCCCTTTAATTTTAGAGACTTTCATTTGATTGGTCTATACGCGATTGGCTTGTCTAACTTGATAGAACGAAATTATACCTAACAGATCACAATTTTAACTTATTGAACGGCCCTCGCTTTAATAATTTCATTTAACTTGCCGTGAAGCGGCAGCCAGTTTCCGGTGTTAGTCAACAGTGAAACAGAAACTTGACAAAAAAAAATATACATATACCCGTGTTTTGGCACTTGGGGCAAGGGGCGGGACAGGTGTTAGTGGAACAGTTCAGCAGTTGAATAGCCTGTAATATCCAAGAACAAGAACTAGTTGCAAATGTACTGTTAAATTTATGTTGAAATACACACAAATTGCATTCGGCCGCGGACGATGGCGACGCGCTGGTCAAGCAACTGGGACATCTGCAAGGTGAAAGAAACTTGTTGCTAAGTTGACCGTAGATTCCGGTCTATCGACGGCTCTTTAACTCAAGCTTGTCGCTGGCTTTGACTTTGGTCGAAAATGACCTCAGAAAATGGTCACAAGTCTCAAAATTGGTGTCACAATTGAGTGACAAGTTCTCGTGGGTTAGCCAAATGCCCAGAAGAACAGACGGAAGAGATGACAACTCTATTCACAATCACAATTTCCAAATGTACCCATTGGTACAAGTGTACCAAAACTCGTACTTTAATTAACAGTGGTACCTATTTTATGTACCTTTGATTTTTTATTTCTAAACAATTAGTGCAGTTTTTATATATTTCTTAATATATATTGAAAAACTTAATTCCCTTAAAAATGCTGCTTTTTCGCGCGATTTGGTACACTGTGATTTCTGGTAAAAGCTATTCTTTTTCGAAGTGGCAACCATGCTGATAATGGACATAAATTCTAATTGGAAGAGCGGCCTGTTCAGTGCTTGTTGCGTTTGTCCATGCTGTGGATGATGTCTATATGGGCTGGCGTTTGCTAGAAAAACGAAGCAATTAAACGCCTCAGCGGATCTGCTCTCTTTGCCCATAAATATGGCTTGAAGCGATGGCTGATCGCTATCAGTTGACAATTACATAAATAAATTACTTGTATGGCACGGCACGGCCTGTGCGCAGCAAAGTGAAAAGCTCCAATCGCTAGATCGCCAGCTTCCAATCTTCCAGGCTTCCCACGCACTGCTGAGCTTTGCACTGAGCGAAAATTGTAATCAGCTTTTTATGCAAATTAAATGCACGAATTCAAAAGGCAATTCAATTTGAAAACACACACATAATGCATATAACATTTATACAGTTGCGTTATTATTGTTATTGTTGTTGTTGCTGTTGTTGCTGAGCTGAAATGTTTGTGGAGACGTCAGTCCCCCACGTATAAAATGTCCAATTTGAAACGCGTTTTGTGATTGAAGGAGGTGTTACCCACCCGTCGACGTCGTATGTTGCTTGTAGACAAACTGCTTATACAGAAACTTACAAATAAACTCATTTATATATTTGACTTTTTTATTGTAAGCGCACCTACAAATTGTTGCGAGATGAGCTCAGTGCGCCCACAATTTGTGTGTGTGTGCTGCCGTACAAGCCATGCAAATAATTCTCGACAATTACTTAAATGGAGATGACACCTGTTTTGTTTTCTAATACAGGCAGTCGGTATAAAGAGGTAAAAACATTTAAATCAAAGCTTGTTTATGACGCGTCAGTAAATGCAAATTAAACAGCCTCTGTTAGATAGCGCTGTTAGTCACTGCTTCTTTTTACATTTCGCTGTTAGCCGCACGATATCTGCTAACACACGCTGTTAACATTTCCAGCATTCTGTTAAGAAGCATTCTGTTGGCGTAAGTGTTGTTGCTAATCAGACAACATGTTGGCATGCGCCTCTTTAGCTCAGTGGCAGAGCACTGGTCTTGTAAACCAGGGGTCGTGAGTTCAATCCTCACAGGAGGCAACTCGAAAAACTTGTGGATATGAACCCTATTTTTTTTATTTTTTAACAAAAATTAAATTTAAAAATACGTTAATATTTCTAGTTTAATTAATTTGTAATCAAATATAGTACTAAAAGCAAATTTCTATGCAGCACAATAGAAATCACCTACTTTGAGAGGAAAAATTTTGTGTTTGTGTTTATTTTGAACACTATTAACGAGTCAAAATTATATAGATTGGGAACAATGCTATTATATGCAATGGTGTGTGTGTTTTAATAACATAAACATTTGCCTACCCGGGCTTGGAATTTCCGAACAGCTGCCCTCTGATAAATACGGGTACTCGCACTGAAGTTTGAGTACTCGATGAACGCGGGTATCTGCCGAATGCCTTTGGCATAGTTTTGGTTTCAGCTCGTGCGCTTTTTATACACACAATTTATGTGGCCAAATGAATTGTGTGTTAGTGTGTGTGGGACACACACAAATTAGCACAGCTCTAAACCCAGTTGACAATTTGTGCTCTGGTATGTGAACAAGTGTTTCACAGCAACAACAATGACAATGGCAACAAAGGCGACATTGATAAAATAATCACCTTAATAGAGGCTGAGCGGAGCACATGGCCAGCAAATGGACCAGCGACAAGACGCTCAGAAATGGCCAAAAAGAAAATGAGGAACTGTGTAGCTGAGAAGAGTATTACAGAAATTAGTTAATAGACTTGACACAAATACGTTTTGTTTCTTTTAAGGTTTGTGTTTCTGCATTAGCATTTCTTCAGCTTCACCTTCAGCTTCAACTTTGACTTTGAGTGGCCGCAAGAGGTCTGTGTGTAGAAAGAGAGAGAGAGAGGGAGAGAGAGATATGTGTATCTGTATCTGTATCTGTAGCTGCTGCTGTTGTGTATCTGCGAGTTGTTGTGAACACTTGGCAGCTGGTTTAGCCGTGTACGCGTACTTGGCTCTGTTGATAATTAGCCATAATTTCAGCGCACAATTAGTGGCAATGGGTTCAGCTAGAATGTCATTTGGGTCGCGTGAAAGTTGTGTAAAATTCTCGAGACACTCTAGAAAGTTGATAGACGTAGCTGGTACATACTAGCTATTAGCTATTAGATAGTATGCATTTGTGTTTGAATGAATCGATTGGCTGTCATCAATCGAAACGAAAGCGCGAATTGTTGTTGATCTTTCAGCGACCTGTCCAATGATCGGAAATATCCATCCGCAGAATCGAAGCGAAATCTTAAAATAAGATCGTGCTGAGTGTGAATTTAATTGTTGTTGAAAGTGAAACTAAAACAGTTTCCGACCCAACGAGAAGGTTGAGCTCGTTAACTCTGCTTTCCATTCGAAAGATCAGATACAACAACTCACAGTTGCATCTCTGTCTAGACAGAGCCAACAACTATTCATATGGAGATTTACACTATGTAAATCAATGCCCCACTCGAAAAAAAAACCGCTGATTGGGCACAAAGAGGCAAGAAACAAAGAAGCAAACGAAAAACAAATACGACAAAGTCAACAGAAGAATCTGAAAATATGTTAATCGCCCCCGGGTCTAACATCCTGCCCGGGACGGGCCCAAAGGGTTGCTGCTTGGCCCTTCATTCGAATTTCAATACCGTTCGGGCCAGTTACCTGGTCTGGCCTGGTCTCCTCAATTGTCATTCAAATGCAAGACGGAGAGCCAGATCCAGACTCTTAGAATTAATGACACTAGCGAGAGAATACCTGCCACTGTTGAACAATTGTTCAGCAATTACCTGACGACTGGCTGTGAGTCAACCGCAGAAAATCATATGTAATTATATAGCTGAGTCGGATTCGAGCTACTGCAGCTACTCGCACGGGGGCCAAGGGCAGATTGACTAGAAATATCATTAGAATTCCGATTGAATTGAACTCTTTTGATTTGATTTTGCGGCGAATGAATGCGAGTTGTTATGGAATCAATGTAGCTGGCTTTTAATTACTATACAGAAAGGCGCTTGGAGAACAGCATCAGAAATTCAAATCGCGTTTTAATAGTCGTGAGCCTCGTAAATTATTTTTGTATAAGCTCTTAACAGTTTTCTTTCTTGATTGCGAAAGGCAATTCTTTTGTTATGATAAGCCAACTACTTTCAGACCAACTTGGGCAAGTCTTTTGTTTAAAAGACGACGCTCAAAAGCAGAACAAAAACTTGGCTGACAGCTGTTTCGTAATAGTTTTTACCCAAAATGCGAACGTGCACGGCAATTTAAAGTCAAGATCTTAGCCGAAGAACATTGCAACATTGCATAATCGTTTTGTGAGCAACTATTGTGTAGATGAGGAGGAGTGGCTCGCATATTTTGCCACATCATTGCATCACAGGGGCGCGCCTTTAGGCAGGCTGCACTGTATGTAATCGTACAGAGCGTATGCAGCGGAGTTCCCCTCAGAAGCGACAAAGCCATCATCGAATGACTTAACCTTTGCTCACACAATGAATACACTCGCGAATGAGTCGAGTAATGCCCAGTTGTAGGTCGCAAATCTTAGTTAATTGTTGCACTTACCACAAAGTAATGTTTAGTCGATGCCGCTCAGAATTGCCTTTGTTGTGCTGTTTTGTGCTGTTAATGCCAGTTGCGAATATGTCCAAATGCGCATCAATTTACGAATTTCATTTCAATTGAATTCATTTAGTTTCGTTTCAATTCATTTCGTGCGGCTTGGCTGCGATTATTTACACTTGGGCCATAAATCAATGCGAGCGGCTATTGTTGGCATTAGATGCGATGCCGCGGCCCGAGACCGTCGCTAAAACGAATCACTATTATTTACTATTATTGTTATTATTCGTGAAAAGTTGTTGTTTTGGTTTTCAGTGGAAATGTTGGCCGCAAATTATTGCCGTTTTTGCTTTGATTCAATTAATTTCTCAATGCGCGCGCACTCGCGCACAATTCAATTTCCGTTTGTCAAACGTTTGATTTCCTTTTCGCTGCATTTCCGTTTCCCCCCGCGACCCGTACAGGAAATTTACACTCGGACGCGAACGACAAAATAAACAAACGGCACTAAAAACCAAATGCGCCGACTGCAGTTCCCGCAGCTCCTTTCGCAGTTGCGCAGGCGCGCAGAACAACACGCAAGATCTTGGCGAGAGGCGAAAAGTGGCAAGCGAACGGTGAGAGCAGAGAGCGAGCGCAACGTTGTGACTGGCACGGCGGCTACTTGAGCACTGAACGTGCTCAGCAGCAGCAGCAGCAGCGGCAGCGACAGTGACAGCGGCGTCAGCGTCAGCAGCAGCAGCGGCAGCGACTGCGCCAGTGCGAGGGCAAGCCTTAAAGTTTATTTGTGAGAACTTGGGCTTAGATCAATTTATGATAGGATTGATCAATTGTTAATTCAGTTCTTTAATAAGCAAGATTTTAGTTTTTTAAGATGAAATAAGCAAAATTCTTTGGCAAGAGCTCCTTCAACATCCAACTGCAATGTTATCTAACTCTATGGAAATAACGTTGGTGTATATAAATCTCTCTAAGCAATTTTCTTGCAAAGATATTAAGTCGGCGGCGTGTAGATATATGAAAAAAAAATTACCTTCAAAAACTTTCACTTGGCAACATTATTTTTAAAGCAATTTGACCCCAGGCAGTAAATCGACACGGATTTTAACTTAAATGTTAAGTTCTATATTAATTAACATGACTATCGACAGATGCTTGAGACGCTGCACAAAGTTTTGTAAACATTTGTTACATTAGCGTTGACTAGAATGGAGTTTTTCAATGATTTATTACACTTCGAATATGGCAAACGGTTTGCATGACCTAAGTTATGCTTTCTTCAACGTGTTTGTTTTATGACCGCTTGATGAATCGTGCTTAAGTTGTTGTTTGTTAGTTTTTTTTTCATGTTCTGTTATTCTAAAAATAAGCATACATCTCTTGTCGTTAGTTTCTGTCAGATTCTTAAACTTATATAACTACTGGTTGCAGTAAAAAATGTTTAATCTTCTTTTTATTTAAATTAAGATTAAAATTTTAATTTTTTTATAGTGGAATGAGAAATTATTTATTTTTGTCAGTCTGGTTCCATAAACATCTGAATCTGCCCTCGCTGAAAAGCGATTGCAATGCATTCGCTCTGGATTTGCTCTCCGCTCTGCGCACTTGGTGGTGGGTTTTGTCAAGAGCGAGTTAAGAGAGCTGCACGGATTGCTGGGCAATGGGACTAGGCATGTCTCGACACGACTTTGACTCGAATCGTAATACTCGTCGAAATTTTTAGTTAATAATGCAGCGCATTGAACTCCCCCTCCCACCGAGAATAGAGTCTTTGGCAGGAGGCGTCTCCTTATTTTGACAGCTGCAATCGGCTCGAGATTTTTATGATGCACATCTTAAATGTCCATTTCCGTGCTCGGATTCGGTAAACCCATTGACTGACTGGCAAATGTCAGTGGTGTCTCTGTGAAGTGGCTAGCATTTGGATGGGGCGTCCGCGATAGAGATCAGAGCGCGCTCGTGCGCAAAGTCAATTAAAATGATCACAACAACCCAAACACATAAAAAAAAAAAATGAAATCCACGCCAACCCTTTGTTGTGTAGGGGTTGTCGCTGTCTGGCGTCTAGGGGCGGGGGTTGCCGGCGTTGATTACATTTGCCCATTAAAAATCATTAAAATTAGCATAGCACGCCGCACCCAAAACAGACACGCAACTAAAGGGCATAAATCATGAAAAGGATGCGTTTGTGCATTTACCAAAAAAATGAGAAGAGCTTCTCTCGCGCGCCGCGCACGCGCTTCAAGTGCTGCCTCCGCCCTCCCTTGTCAAGGTGGGTTTTGTTTTTTTCTTTTGATTCGGAGTATGCAACATTTCGATTAGCTAATGTTGCCGCCCATAAATCAAAACTCGGACAATGGTGCGGGTCCATTAAAAATGCGTAGAAAACAGTGAAGCGTTTGCTTATCCGTTATTCTGTTACAAAATCCAAACTGTTTATTTAATTTCCATGCGAGTTCGTTGCTTGAGTCTTTCGATTCTGACTTTCGAAATGACAACGAAACAGACAAAGACGAAGAGACGTCAGCAGGGAATAGTCAAAAAACGTGAAAGATATATGTATATACATATATTCAGTGTGTGTGTGTGTGCCTGTTAAGCTGCCACAAAAACCGATAATAAAATAACAGACACTTCCTCGAGGATGCCCTGCCGAGGGCTGAGCGCTGCAGACTTCAGAAATCACTTGTCGCTGTCATTCCACAGCCACTTTTTTATGATTTTCCCGAGAAAACGAACAGAGAGTAAACTAAACATGAGAATGCCGCAAGTGCCAGGAAAATCTCAAGCGTTACTACGAGAGAAAGAGAGAGAGAGAGAGAGACAGCGGTTTTCACTTGCCGCGCACTGAAAGCAAACCCAAATTGTGGCTGCAGTTTTCGGGCACTTGAAACAGGACGGAGCCCGACTGCCTAATTTATGCCCAGTGGCAATGCGATGCCTGAAATTCCAATTGCCGCCCTTCCAAAGCGATAGAGAGGGAGAGAGAGGGAGAGAGAGACCTCTGCGACGGCAGCCCCTGTGTGTTTGCTCAATTAAACTAATTTATGCGGCATGCTAATGTCCTCTCCTCATATAAGCATCATATTTATACTTCAGTTATTGAGAGGCTCTCTATATAGCCCCTGGTTGAGGCATAGTCAGGTGCAGTTCCTGGTTCTCAGCGCCCGGTTGCCGAGTGCATGTCCGTGAAGCATAAAACATGTTTAATAAAACATTTCACGATCGCGCTCCATAAATTGTGTCACAAATGCAACTTTGCAATTAAAGTGCAACAAGAAAGTAAATATAAAATCGGCTTGTCAAAGAAATCATACTTTTCTGGCGCACATTATTACGCGAACTACTTAGATACTTTATTTGTTTGGTGAGTAAATAGTTCACTCGATCACGTGTGGCTTACTATCAAGTGGAGTGTAGGTATATCAAACCAATACGTATTTGAAATATAATATTTGAAAAATATTTAATATCATTTGTGCATTATTTACTAGCTGTAATCCAAGCCTGTTGACAGATGGAACCACATATCTCAAATGTTGTTTTCCTTTGAACAGTTTGTTGATTTCAAATATGTGTATTCTTATCCAACTCGAGAATTATATCTTTTATGTGCTGTGAATCGGATTTCAGTAAATAAACACGCTGCAATTTGGAAAGGTCGACTGTCTCCTCAATTTATGAAACTAGGTAATACACCAAGGAGCGCAGTTCATAATTCGTTTATATTATTTATTTATTTTATTTAATTTGAATAGAATAAAAGAATTCTTCACTAAAAATTTACAAAATAATCTTACTTAGCTAGGTTGAAAAAAATTGCTAACTAAAAAAACAGTTCGCTTGTAGAGTCAACCCTTTTTTAAGATTTTTTGGAATATCTGGGCCAAATAATGTCCGATTTTGGAATTTAATGCCATTTTGAACTCGTAAGGATCAGTACTATTGATTGGCATCAAAATAATAAGAACGTAAATTTTGACCCAAATCGACCAAAAAGCCAGGGGTTACATCACGTTTTTTATCAAAATCGGACTCGGTCCGAAAATCGAAACATGTTTGATGATTATTTTTGAATAACTCTGGTTAATATTGTCTGGTTTTGAATTGTTATACCTTTTTCAATTCGTACAGGTCCCTACTATCAATTGGCATTCGAATAAATTAAAAATCGATGGGTTAAACAAAGTTGTGGACCCAAAAACGATTCATTTATAAAGACAACCTTTCTTGATGATTTTTTGGATTATCTCGGCCAAATAATGTCAAATTTTGGAATTGTATACCATTTTGGACTCGCAATGATCAGTACTATCGATTGGCATAAAAAAAATGAAAATCTAAATTTTGACCCAAATCGACCAAAAAGCAAGGGGTTACATCACATTTTTTCTCAAAATCTGGCTAGGTTCGAAAATCAAAACTTTTTTGATGATTTTCTTTAAATAACTCGGCCAAATAACGTCCGTTTTTGAAGTATTATACCTTTTTGAATTCGTACGGATCCCTACTATCAGTAAGCATTCAAACAAATTAAAAATCGATGGGCTAAAAAAAAGTTGTTGACCAGAACAACGATTCGTTTGTAAAGTCAACCCTTTTCGATGATAATATGGAATATAAAATATTAAAATTTGTTATGGAACAGAAACAAATAAACAATAATAGTAATGAGTTATTTTAAAACTGTTTTGAATAGATAGAAGTAAATAGGGTAGAGATGGAAATTACTGATACAGATGATTCTTAATTAAATAATTAAATATTGCTTGCATTTTTAGTTTTCTCCTTTAAAATATATATGCTCAAGTTATTTGTAAATTTGCTTGGGATATTCTAGAATATTTAAATTTATTGTTGAATGCCTTCTCATTATTTTATATAAATAAACAATGATTGATTGTTGCCTTGGTAAGAGTGGATAATCAAGTGCGTAGATTAGTGGGCGGGGCTTGAAAGAAAACTTTAATAATTGATTGAAGGTTTCGGCTGTCATTCATTCACTGCCAAAAGATTCAAATAAGTAACTACGTAATTATAAATGAAGTATCTTAGCAGCTTTAGATACGGAATAGGGAAATAGGTTGGCAAAAAGTAAAGGATTCACTCTGGAATTGCCTCCTGTGAGGATTGAACTCACGACCCCTGGTTTACAAGACCAGTGCTCTGCCACTGAGCTAAAGAGGCGCCTGCTTGAGAGGCGCTAAAGTAGCCAACTTCTGCTACAACTGCTGCAGATGCAAGCTTGTATCTTGTATCTTGTATCTTGTCTCTGCGACACACAGATAGCAGCGAACATATGTTGACACAGTTGTCGCCTGCTGCTGATAACTGTTTCAATGTTTCGACAGTCCCATAAGAAATATATAGACACACGGCAAGGTCAGGCTCACGACCGGATATTAATTTTAAAAATTACACACACTCTCATACTTATTATTATCTTAATAATCATCGCACATCTGAACACGTTTTGTTGTTGTCGAAGTTGAAGTTGAAGTTGTGCCTCGGGCTGCGCTTCAGTGGCCCATGACAATTAGGGCCATAGAAATTGAGTTTCGGCAGGCTCACCTGTTGTAAGTGAAACCCGCTCGCCAGCTGAAATGGAGACGGAGATGGATCCATTAGGCTCCGCGGGCATCAAAATGA